TAGATGCTATTCGCTAGATAAGTGAAAGTCCGGGATGTAGAAATAAAAATTCTAAACTATTGTCCGTAAAAGCAATGACATTCGAAGCGGTTAAGGGGCAGGTGTATAGAGAAGAATAGTCTCAAACTAAAAACTCGCATGAAATTTTAATAATAATTCGAGCGAGTTTCTTTGCCACTTAAATATTACAATGAAACGAATGATATTCATATTTATTCGGGTTAAGTAGAAAAAAATTGCCATGCGTTAGGAAGTATCATGAGATTATCGTATGATATAAGAGTAATATTATTATTATTATTTTAATTTTAGACTAATGAAATGAATTCTTAGACTAAAAAAGACATTGAGCACTAGCAACACAGGCTATCGGCTCATAAGAGTAATAATAAAGCAATAATATTCTAATTTATTCAGCGAAAGCTTGGTCTTCTCGTTCATGCGATAAATTTTTGCTTAGTATGACAGTTATTGATGTTGATACATTTACAAATATTTTTAGGTTTGTATATACGCGAAAGAAGTATAAAATTTAGATGACAACCAAGTTACTTTCTTCTATGGACGATATAAATATATATATATATATGATATAAATATATATATATAAATATATATATATATATATACTGAACTATTTTCTTTCATGTCATGAATGAAGACTTCTATATGACATTTAAGTGTATCTATGTATTATCTTTTTTTTTAATCATATTGTCGTTGTGTGCCTTCTATGTGTATTTTTTTTTTCCACGATATGTAATTAAGTGCGTCATGCGGTAGTTTGATAATTAACTTGAAATATTTTTTCATTTTGTGTTCATTAAATAAAATCAAAATTCATTTGGAAAACTTTTCTTAAAAACAAGAAATATTTAAATAAATAAAAGGGAATTAAAAAACCTAATACGAAATAAAATAAAATGTATTGTTATCCATTAACAGAATTGTTTTTATAAAAGAAAAAAAAAAAAAGTAAAAAATAAATTTTATTAAAAAAAAAAAATTAATCATTTTTAAAAAAAAAAAAAAAGAAATTATATTCTAATAAATTCAGCCCTTAAAATTTTTCAATTTTTTTCATTGATTTATTAATGTTTTTTATATTTTTATTAAGCGTTTCATTTTACTCAGTGCTACAAAAAAGAAAAAAATTGCATTTGACTTTATAAAGTATAAAAATAAACAAATTTTAATACAAAAAGTTAAAACATAAATAAATAAAAAAAAAAAAAAAAAAAAACGAAAATTTGTGTGATATTTACTTTTTAAGAGAATTGAAAGCAAAAAAAAAGACTAAATTTACATGAAATGTTATTAAAGCTAAAGAAATAAAAAAATAACAGAAAAAAAGAGAAATTTTATTCAATAACAAAATAAATAATTAAGGAAAACTCCAAGATTCTTTAATTTATTCAAATATATAGAAAAAGACGAGCAAGAGAGCCAATCGCGCAAAAGTTTTCGTGAAATGAAATATTGTAAACGCAATGCAAAATAAATTTAACGAATGTAAGAAGAAAATTTAGTATGGAAAAGAGGAATTCAAAAAAAAAAAAACAAAAAAAACATAAAAAAAACAAAAAAACAACAAAAAAAATGGAACGAATCCAAACGAAAAAAAACCTATAAATTCACACAAATTTATTTAAAAGAGAAAAAAAGAAAAGAAAGTAAATACAATAAAAAGAGGAAATATTTTTTTATAACATCTCCTACCTTCGAAAATCAAACTACTATTGATTTTTTAAATTGAAACAAAAAATAAAAAGCAAAGAGAACCAACCCCTTTAATTGAAACAAGAATAGCTTCTCTTCTTCAATAACTTCCAATATTTGTTTAAATTTTATATGTTTTTTTTTTTTTTTTCTATTAGAAATAATAAAAACGTAACAAAATCAAATGCAATTTATCTTCAACTAATTAGTTTTTATTTTTTTATTTCTTTTTTTTTTTTTTTTTTTTTATATATATATATTTCTTTTTATTACTAAAACTTATAATTATTACATTATAAAATTATAAAGCATAAGATATCCTTGAAAATTGCCAAAAAAAAAGAGAAAAAAAAAGAAAAAAGACACAAAATCATTGTAAAAAAGCAATGAATATTTGTTTATGGTAAACGAGCCCCCGCAGCATCCTACACAAAACGATCATTCTTTCTCTCGTAAATGTTGAAGTAAAAAAAAAAAAGAAAAGAAAACGAGTATTTATCTCAATAACTTATTAAACTTGATTTTTGTATTCGTATGCGCAGTTAGCCCACGCAAGGTAATCTAACTCTAATATATAGAAAAAAGAAGAACAAGGCAAACAAGCAAATATGTTTGAATTTACTAATTGAATAATCAATCAATATGTAAACAAAAAAAATAAAAAATAAAAAAAAAAAAAATGAGAAAATAGTTTTTTTTTTTCAATTTAGGCCTTGAATTGATGAAACTATATAAATAAATAAAACTGAGAAGAAAAAGAAACCAAAAAAAATTTATTGAATTTTTCATTTATTTCCATTTTCTTTATTAGTATAAACGGATCTCTACAGGTCGAAACGAGAATTTTTTATTTATTCAATGTATTACGGCAGTTAGAAGTACTCTTTGGCGGTCTGAATTTCAACCTGCATTTCCTTCTGCTATATATTTGGTCTGACCTAAGTGCGTGCCTTGCGTTTTCGAGACATTCGCACGTCCGTTGGTGCAATAACTACCGATCTTTTGAATTTGTTTTGCGCTTCGATGAAACGATTTTAGGAATTTGACTTGTTGACAGGAGACATGTTGTTGTTGTTGTTGTTCTTCTTCTTCTTCTTCTAAAAGCTAAGTGATGTCTAAATTGGCCAAAGCGTTATAGGCGTGTTCTTTGATCTGCTTACGCCATTTTCAAACTCTTTTTGCAAATTCTTAGGCGATTTATTCTTCCCCCCCAATTTAGCAATTGTACAAATGGACATGCTTAAATGCATTTTGAATTTGAAAACCCCCATAATATATGTATAGCGGTAATTCCAATAACTAAATGAACCATAGGTGACGTGGCATTCTTCGTAATAAACAAAGAGATGAAGCCACTGATATATTGGGACACTGAGACAAAGAATTTTGCATGTGAGTATATGAATGCGATGGATATCAGTTGTCAAAACTGTGCCTTTCTAAGGTATTAGAATAGGTATACGTAGCCGTTGAAACTTTAAGAGGTTTAGAAATTCTGATTATCCTAAAATGTATAAATCAAATTTTATCTATAAATGCCCCTTTAATAAAGCATCAATAAGTCCTATGATTCCTGTAACGGAAGGAATCGCTGGAATAAAATCAATTAATCGCTCTACAAGGCGCTACGCTTTCATTTCCGACCCCTCCGACCACATTTCCCCTAAAATAATTTGCTAAGTTGAGACTAGCGAAGAAAGAAGAAAATTACAAGGGCAATGCTGGTAATATTTGAAAAACTAATTGCCAGATGCAGAGTATTCAAAAAAATCTGCTCTCAAAAGTAGACAAAATTACAATAACAATGCTAATCACATTTGAATAAGTGATGCCAAATATACAATATTCAAAGCGATTAGAGTGGGATTTATTTAAAGGGTGCTCATATACCTAAGTAAAAATTTCTTGACAAATTATCAAAAATTCATATACCTTAGATAGATATATTTTGTATTTTTATTGTTTTGAAAAGATTTGGGGAAAAAGGCATTTTTATTTTAATAGTAAATCCAATCTAACCCTCACCTTACCTGCTACATTTTTAAAAGATCATTTGATTGAGCGTTTTTTAGATATTTTTACGCACGAAATGATTCCCCATTTGCTACGTACAAAATTAGAAAGGCATCATTTCTTATCCTGTAATGAAATGTAACCGATCAAAAGGAAAATGTAAGGAAAAGTAATAACTTGATAACGTGATAATTAAGAAATTTTTATGAATGATTGTTTCAAAAGTTTATCTTAAAAAAGAAAAAAACAATACTGCAAAGCCCTCGATACCGTTACACTTTTTCTACACGACCACGTCTATAAAGACGGCCCAATTTTTTTAAAGTATATTTACTAAACATGTTCTTTAATTTCCTATTATGTGTGTTTCGTAATAAACAGTGTTTCTCCTTACCCGGGAGATGAGTATATTTCAGATACTTCTTCAGACTACTTTTACAAGTATTGCCAAATGCAAATTTTCTTCTTCACGCGGTCAAAGCAGCTCTAATGAAACGTTTAAATTTTTAGAAAAGTGTCGAATATTGTCAAAAATATTTCCTACTAAATAAAATCATACTATTTAATTTTCTTCGATTCTAATAATGATACTGATTACGCATGGCGTCAGCCAGGCTTCGTTTTCGAGTTTCGATTATTTCTAATACACATATGCACAAAAGGCGTGAGAAACACTCTCCTCTCTCAAATGTAATATATAGGCGTAGGCAAGATATCTCAAGCTTTACGTTGGGTTGATAATATTGATTGTTCCGATACACTATACAATAATATATATGCTTTTGTTTACTGTAAACTTATTTATGTTGACAATCTGTTACAGTACACAATATTATACATGGGTTTGTTTGCAGTAAAATTATTTGTGTTTACAATGAGTGCACTTTAGGTTGCAGTGGACGTTCAATTGTGTGCGGGAAATGTTTTATTAAGAGTTTGCCTCAAGTGACCAATTACTCGTTGCAGAGAAGACGTGTAATTCAAAATACATACATAAATTTATAAAAGAAATACTTGCTATTTTTGTAAAATGCCAGATATAAAGTTAATTATTTCCCCAAATTAACAACCAACAACATCTTTCGCAGTGGTGCTGTAAAAGAGGAACAAATTGGGAACTTTTGCCGACGGCTTTGCAAATTAGCATAGAGTATTACGTTCTTTCTGTAAATTGCAGCAAAATAAACATTCGTTGGGTAGGTAACCCTGTGTAAGGCCAACAAAGTGCTCAAATTAAAAATATTTAAAAAAGAAGAACGAGGTTTATAAATAAAATACATTCGGAACTATGGCTCAATCAACTCCCAAATTTACGGGTACCGGTTTAGAAGAAGTACATATCCCTGGGCAAGCTTATTTGCGAGAAGCTTTAACCTCTTGTACTGATCCGTTGAAGGCAATAGAAAGTTTTCAGGTATTCCAAATATATTCACCACAAAATGCTATTCATTTCAAAATCTATTTCATTTTATATTCTTAAAAGCTAGAAAATGGTGTACTGTTACCTTCGCTCAGGCCTATGTTACCTTTGTTGGATTTACATGGAGTAAGACGCTTGGATTTTCATACTTCGTTAATGGAAGAGCTGCGAGAAAAATTAATAACTCACATTAATGAGCTGGGACAAAAAGATGTACGGGAACGTGATAAGAAACTAAAAGAATTGTTAATTAAAAGTTTTCCCGTAGTAAGAGTAAAAGCATTGCGCCCTGTAGTTATGGCCATACTGCGTAATACTCCACACATAGATGATAAGTACTTACGTATTTTAGTCAGAGATAGAGAATTGTATGCGGATACTGACACTGAGGTGAAAAGGCAAATATGGCGCGATCATCAGTCATTATTTGGCGATGAAGTATCACCGCTTTTATCTCAGTATATTCGTGAAAAAGAGCATGTCCTTTTCGATCATACTAATTTAAATAATTTATTCTTTCATCCATCGCCTAAAGTGCGCAGGCAAGGTGAAGTCGTTCAAAAATTGGCCAACATGATTGGGAATAGCGTCAAGTTATATGACATGGTCTTGCAGTTTTTACGGACATTATTTTTGCGTACGCGCAATGTTCATTATTGCACACTACGAGCTGAGCTTTTGATGGCTTTACATGACCTTGAGGTGCAGGAAATTATATCGGTCGATCCTTGCCATAAATTCACATGGTGTTTAGACGCTTGTATACGGGAGAAAAACGTTGACATTAAGCGCTCACGCGAACTACAAGGTTTTCTGGACAATATTAAGCGTGGCCAGGAACAAGTTCTAGGCGATCTTTCGATGACTCTATGCGATCCATATGCTATTAACTTTTTGGCCACATCTGCTATTAAAATATTGCAGCATTTAATTAATAATGAAGGCTTACCAAGGGACAACACTATATTGATCTTGCTTTTAAGAATGCTGGCATTGGGTTTGAGTGCTTGGGTTATGATAGATTCCCAGGATTTTAAAGAGCCCAAATTAGATTCACAGGTGGTTACTAAATTTTTGCCCGCTCTTATGTCTCTAATAGTCGATGATCAGTGTCGCAGCTTACACTCTAAATTGCCACCAGATGAAAGAGAATCCGCCTTAACTACTATAGAACATTCTGGACCGGCGCCTGATGCGGTTGAAGCTTATATACAAGAAAGTTCTGTCGCTAGCATATTGGCTATGTATTATACTTTGAATACAGCTCGGCAAAAAGACCGTGTAGGTGTACTAAGGGTTTTGGCTATTTTATCTTCCTGCAAAGATGATCGAGCTTATGAAGATCCATTCCTGCACTCATTGGTAATTTAATTTTAATATTCATATATATATATATATATATATACATTAATATTTTTTGGATACAAACAGATTGCTTTGTTAATACCTATGGCTGAGGAATTTACTACCGAAGACTTTTGTACTACACTCTTTGATGAATTTCTTTTTGCTGGTTTAACACGGGATAATGTCACCAGGCATATGATCAAGCTTTTATGGTATTTGCCTCTATTATAATATAAAACTTGCTTAATTTTATTTAACATCGTTCTATCCGTCTGAGAGAAGTGCTTTCCTTCTTCTTTTATTTTAAAGTCCGAAAATGCGATATACAATTTACATTGAATAGAATTTACTTGCGAAATAGTTGTAATTATGATACAACGAGGAGATGTTGGAAAAGGGCTCCACATATTTTACGATAATGTTTATTAGTTGTTAGGTGGTAGATGCTTATTAAAAGTACATCCAAATTTATGGATAGTGAAGAAACTATATATAAAACAATCTCCTATCGTTTTGTTAAAGTTTCGCTTAAAATTTTCTCCCTTTTTTTTTATTTTTTAGGTATGTCCATAATAAATTGCCAAGTGGCCGTTTGAGCAGCCTTATGAAGGCCATGCAACCTACAACAGGGCACAATGAAACAGTTCATAAATTGTATGAAACATTACAGGAACGCATTGGTGCTTCTTTGCAAGAGTGCCCTATAGCTGAGCAGCCTGAAATTGACTACGATTCTCCGCTGAAAAGTGTACCCACACCTGGACCGCATTATATGCAATAAATAGGTTTAAATATTCATCGTCACTTTATTTATAGATTTAATTATGTTATTTTACTTTAGTTTCTTGTATATAATCATCATTTTTTTTTCTTTTTTATTTCGAAAAAAATGCTTTACAAACATTCTTTGATATATTAAATAAACAAATAAATGGAATTAAATGAGACCTTAATAATATAAAGTTAATCCTCTAATGTTTAAAAATCTGAACAATTAAAAATATTACAATCCTGGCAAGGCTCAACTTTATATCCTTTACATTTGGAATCGAATCTATTCTCATCGATAATACCGTCCATTTCAGGCATAATTTTTGTGAAAACATGTGTTGTAGAATTGTGCCAAATAATTCAATTCTATGGGATAATTTTCATCATAAAATATTAAAAAATCAAAATTTATGCTACATAAAAACTTGATTTCCCTAGGAGTAACTATGTTGGCCCATCCGGTTCTATATGCGAAAATATTATCAATAATAATAAGCAATCTATTTGTCGAGGAATTCGAGTCTAGTCAGTTTTATCAAATTTTATTCCAAAAAATTACGTGGGTTGAATAAAAATCACAAAAATGATTTTCAAGAAAGAGAGAATGGCGCTGAGAACAATAAAACAAATATTCCAAGTCATTCAAAATGGCCACTTGTTAATGATAGTATGAGTAAGATAGTTTTTTGATAAATATATATATATATATATATATGTATATATACATATATATACTAGACTTTAATAAAATGAAAATAGTTCACTATGAGCGCCCATCAAAAGTCCATCTTTTATTATAGACCTATCAGAATTTTATTATTCTATTTATAAAATTATGCACAATTTATGAATATTCACGACTAGGGTGACATTTTTATGCGAGTAAAAAAAGAGTCTAGCTGTTTGTTGCAGCCGAAATTTGGAGAAATTCGGACGGCACATTTCGTTTGATTGTATAAATGGTTATTACTTGAGAATCCTTGATCCATTTTCAATATGTCAGCACAGAATGAATATATTTGTATATAATAATTTACAACCGTAAGTAAATATCGGGAGAGTGTTGATTAAACTTAGTCTCGGTCATCTCATTGATGAGCCGGTGGATTCCTACTAACCGCCTATGTTCACATATATACAACTTTGTTTGTTTTTTTTTTTTTTTTTGTCCTATTATTACTTGTGAAAGCTACGAAGAACAAGGCAAGAATGTTATAATGACGATGCACGAGATTTCTTATTCATAATTGTAAAGGCTTTTCTGAACAATCTCCGCCAAAAACAGGTGATATAGAGAAACCAGAACTTTATTGAAGTCAATCTATGAAATCGACTATAACTTTCCAAGGATTAAAAGGGAAAACAAAACGAGAGCAGAAAGGGAAATTGTGTCTTGTATATATTTTTGAAGTTCGGTGAGACCGTTAAGACTAATTGCCGAGAATATAAAATTTTTTAATTTGCATAAAGAAGCAAAGAAAAATAAATAAGCAAAAACATTGTAGACACGCCTTTAAACATCCTACACAATCTAAAATTATTCGTATAACGACTTTTCAAAACGCGGCGAAGAGAATAGAAGAATATTACGGCCTGTAGGTAGAAGAAATCGAGGACGGACAGACAAAAAGACAAGCTTAGATCGAATCAGTATGTGATTCGTTAAAAAAATATGCAAATATTGCAAAAATCGCGAACTGTAGATTGAGCACGAAATGAAACAAGATAGACCGACGGAAAGACAAGTTTAAATCGATTCATAAAATGATTCTGAATAGAATGGTATGCAAAAAGATTGCATACATCTGCACAAATTTAATAAATTCTTGTGCTAAGTTAATAAAAAAAAACTCTCCCGATAGCAGTACTAATCCAACTCCAGGGAGTTGAGAAAACAAAAAATTAAGTAGACTTTACACTTTACACCTTAAATGCAAGCAGCATTCTTTCGCTCACTTGAAAAGTAGATAAAATATGTTCCTTTTGTAGTTCGATTAGAAAATCCTCGTTAAAAATCGATAAAGAAGACATGAAAAAAAGGCTATGTGGGTGGAAAGAAAAAAGGGATAGTAGCACTTATGAAGCCTCCAAATGAATTTCGATAACTCCTATCTCTCATCATGTTCATTTCGCGAGATGAACTTCAAAAATAATATTCCCACTGGTAATTGGGCCGTACTTTTTATTGACTTGAACACTACCCAAGTTATCGAAAAAAATTAAGGGGGTGTAAACATTTTAAACGGCGCAAAAACTATATTTTCCGATTTAATGATATTACAAGAAACTTTACATGCATGGGAAACAATCACAAGTGCAAAAAGCAATTGTAGAAGAAAGACGATCTTCTCATGCCAATGGTAGCCATTAAACCAAGCCATTATAATTCTTATGGACATTGTGTAGATTAACGATAAAACAGAAATTATTTCATAATTAAAAAGTTAAATGCGTAACGAGAATGCGTAAATGCATCACTGACTCCTTCAATTTTCCACCAAAGGTCACAAAAACTTATTTGTTACCTTAAAATGAAATCCTTTAGCCAGCACCTTAGGCTTTCTTCGATAAATTAATTAAGGAGTGTCGACAATTTTTGATCGAAATCTTTCAAAAAGAAAAATAAATTCACTTATGCGTCACATTTAGTTGGAATTTGTTGTTTTCGGCGAAGAGTTGCGATTGCAAACGACAGAACAAAGTAGACCAAGGAAGTAAGCATCACTTTCTAAGAATGGACAGAGACTTAAATTTCTTTTGTAAACAATTTGAAAATAAAAAATTTCATTCTTTAAAATGAAATTGAAAAAAAAAAAAGAAAAAAAAAAACAATTTGATTAATGGACACAAGATGATATTACCTTCTAATCTAGTAAAATCGACTTTTCATGTTTTTCTCTTATAATTTATTTATGGTATAGAGTACTGTAATGAACTGCTGGGCAGTGATTTTTTTATCAAAAAAATCTGCTTTTCAACGAGGCTTTGTATTTAGGTCATATCCATACGTTCATCCAATTTGGCACAAGATTCAGTTTCGGTTTTTGTAATCGCAGGTGTAGCTGCCACTGATCTAAACTGAGAGGTTATTGTACATTGTGAAGATTTTAACGATACAGGCGCGATTTCCATTTCTTTTTTCCGTAAAATTTTATACTTTTCATACAACTCATTGTACTCCATGTAAAGACGTTGCCATTTTATATGTGCCTTTAACTGTTTCAAAATGTTTTCTAATAAATCATGTTTGGATATATCCTAAAATTACATTACAAAAAAAAAAAATAAAAATAAAAATAATATATTACAAAATTAATATTAATTGAGGTAAGAAGAAGAATCAAACGCACCAATATATGCGTTCGTTCCTTGAGCCCGGCTATTGAAGGTGAGCCTAATAAGTCATTAAGTAATAATCTTAATTTTTTTTCATTGCCGCTCATTGCCAATTGGAAAGCTAACATGCTGTACCAATGCTTAAGTTCTTCGGGTGAATTAATAGCTTCACATAACTTAATTTGATTCTCAATGAAAATAATTTTCGCTTGTGTCTGCCAGTCATTCGCATTTCTTAAAAAAGCGAGAGAACAAATTAAATTAAAAAAAAAAAAAAATTAAAAATTTTCGTTTCTTTGTTTTTTTTTGATATGTGCTGCTCATACTTACAAATCAATGGCCGCCGTTTGTTGGGCAAACGCATTAGTGGAAGCCTGCACAGACGTCAAAGGATAGGATAAATAATTTTTGTTGAATTCTTTGGGCATAGACGTCTGCAGACCATGGCGCATAATTGGATCTTTCGTATTCAAAACTAGCCACGACATTAATTGCGGTGAATATGAGTAAGCGTGGCCATTGGCGAACATAATTAATGGTACGGCATGCTCGGTTATATGAAACTGCATAACAGCGCCATGTTTACCGAAAACCTCTGAACAGGTGGTAGCTAATACCGCACTACAGGTCTCTATATTCCAAATACGCAAGATACCGCATTCGGTGATAACACCCACTAAACGACCTTTGGGACACTATTGCGAAACGAGAAGATTTCATTTCGATTTTTAACACTTTTTTTTCTTTCGTTTGAACTTACAAAAGCGCACTGGATAACCGCAGTTGTTAATGAAATGGCGGGCATTATAATGCTACCGGTATGCAAGTCAAGTAAACGCATCGAGCCATCTAAACTGCACAACATCACGCATTTAGAGCAAAAATTAAAATTGACAATAGGCGAACCTGAAGTTAAATGCACGCGCGTATAATTTCATTTTTAAACGTTTCGCATATATAAAATTTAGCACTTTACTAAAACTCACCTACATATGTCTCCCATAGTTTACCAACATTTAATCTATAGGCGGTTACTTTGGCTAATAAACCTGTGGCGGTATGAACACAACCGTTGTGTACGTGAACACGGTAATCTAAAGCAGTCTTTTGATATTCACATTTTGTGTTGACGGTTATCGGTATTTTCGGTCCTGAGGTAGAAGCTTGAAAAACTTTCGATGGTGAAATAAAGCTGGCGGGATTTATATCCGTTACAGGAGTCGGCGTACGCTTGAAATAGGGAAATGATTGAAAAACGTCTTGAGTAACTTTAAGCGGCTGCATTAAAGGTTTAGTACTTTTGACTAAACGCGAATCCAGGCGGCTTAAAAGTGTAAAAAAAAAAAAAATACAAATTAATACCAATTAAGATTGAATCATCAAATTAAGCACAATTGAAAAAGCCTACCCTTCTTCCTGTTCGGTAATAGCGGCTTTTGGCAGAACTGTACTTTCTATACCCTTGTTATTACTGATTCCCGTTTCAGCGCCAATTGCAGCAATTGTCCTATTATCCAAACTTTGGTTCATTGTGGACGTTGCTCTTGAGCAACTAATTAAGTTATTCGCATTTCCACTCTCCGGGACATTTTGATTTAGAGGTATAAACACCGGTGTTATACGTCTTTTCCCGTCAGCTGTTCGCGTTTCTAATTGTTGACCAATAGCTTTCACGGGCGAAATATTGGAACCGAATGCGGGATTCTGCGCGAGATTCCCGGATTTTATCATTGTGGTGGGGTTATTATTTGAAATATCGCAGATTAGTCCATTTGAGGAGGGCAGTGTTGTATTTTGTATGACTGGACCTACACAATTATTATTGTGATTAGATGACGATATGTTAGGCAAAGTGGGTGGCTTGACTTTCTCTTGAATGCATTGCAATAATTCGGAATTTTCTATAACCATATCGGCTACTGAGGAAGAACCATTTTCCATATTTGTTGCACTTTTACCGTAAATTCTTTGATACAAAGCGTTTTTATCCTCCTCCGAGAGCGGTGTACCCAATTCATTTTCTGAAAATTGTAAACACGCCACAGTACCATCACCACTACAAGCCAATAATATGCATTTGTCTGGTCCCCATGACAAATCGAGAATACTGTCGTTAAAGAGTTCGTGTATTACCACTAACGGTCTCTGCAGTGCCGTCATCCATACAGAGAGGCTACGATCGCGTGAACCGACCGCTAAACAGCAATACTGTTGAGGTTTTTGACTTTTCGGCGCTTGCCGTTTAAGTATAGCTGTATGAAAACGCACACATGTGACTGCCTTACGATGACCAACAAAATCTTTATCACACTTCCAGCCCTCGCGTTCGATAATTTGAGCGGTTGGTCCTCCGCCGTTCATTGCATGAGCTGAAACCAAATACTGGCCATCTGGCGACCAAGACAAACGTAATATATGTGTTGTGCCGCCACATTCCTCAAAAGGTTCAGTAATCGTGTTACTGCAAGTCCAATCGCTTGTTTTCCATATTTTAACACTGCGATCATCGCTTTGAGACGCCAAATATTTACCAACTGGATCCCAAGCAATGCCTTTGACTAGACCAGTGTGACCTTTCAGCATCGCCAACATGGCCGGAAAGTTTTGCACATCCCATATAATTATGGTGTTATCAATACTACAACTGGCCAACCAACGATCCTGAGGTGACCAAGCCAAATCTAAAACATCACCTGAATGGCCGCGTAATGTGTACACACATTTCCACGATTCGTAATTCTTCTGAATGCCACCCGTAGCGAACACACCACTTGGACCCTTCAACATATAAACATATTTACAATCAATAAAGCCGCTATCTTTTATTATTATTATTATTATTATTATCTTCAAGTAAATGCGCTCACAACTACTACTTACTTTCGATTGCTTCCAAATCATTAACAGTTTATCATCGGAACCGGAAGCTAACATGAAACCACTTTGAGACCATCGCACACAATTAACGCACGCCAAATGATTATCCATTTGGCATAACATTTTTGGTACACTCTCATCCAATTCGGCTTTTTCAGATAACACCGGCAACAAATTCCAAATAACTACTCGCCCGGAATCATTGCCTTGACCACCCGTAGCAAATTTAAGGCACTCTTGATGCACATCCACCGAAAATATTGGTTTTTCTATTTAAAAACAACAACAACAAAAAAAAAAAAAAAAAAACATTTTTAAACAAATGGCTTCACTTATTATTATGTTCTATTATTAATTACCATCGTGATTTACCCAATTTGGCTTTAAGAGTTTCATGTAATTTTGCGGTTTATTTCGCGCGAAATATTTAGTATTGATCTAGGCGGTAATGCGTTAGCACTTTTCTCAGTTCGCAAAATTGTTTAATGAATGAAGTTTATTGAACATTTCTTAGTTTTCTTATATGTAAACTTCTCTTCTGCTCTTCTTCTCGTTGTCCTCTTTTTCCTTCTTTCCTTTACGCAAATATTTCTTTCTATATTTCACTTATATTAACACGAGATCGCATACCTATTATGTATCATTTGAAGAATTTGAAGAACTATTACCAAAAAAAAAAAATAAAAAAAAAAATAATAATAATGGTTTTTACACAAAATAAGGGGTTTGACTGCAATGGACAATGAAATAAGAACGAAAATGCGAACAAAACGAAATACAAGAAAAAAAAAAAAAAAAGTAAACAGGGAGAAGGCAAAAATAAGTAAAAAACCGAACAGATATAGATAAATAGGAAAAAACAAAGATTTGCAGCGGAAATTTTATTTCATTCCATTCATTTCATTTCATTTTTCATTAAAAGTGGACGTGTGAATTTTGTGAGCGGTTCCTCACTTGCGGATTAAAAATTGAAAAAAAAAAAAATATACATTTTTTCCTTTGAACATTTTTAGAAAACAAATTTAAAGTTGAAATTTAAAATATTTTACGCTATTTATATAGCAAAGTAAGAAGAAGGTTGTAATAAAAATATAAACAAAAAAAACAAAATTAAAAAAAAAAAAGATTATTTTAAGAAATTTAAGTGAGTAAAAAATAGTGCATTCTAAATGTATTTATGAAAAATTTTTTTTTTTTATTTACATTTGTTCCTTCAAATTTCATATTATATTTAATAGTGTTCAAACCTTAACGCATATATACATATTTGCTTTACATTTCGGTAAGATTTTTTTCAACTAACTTTTTATTATATTCATTCATTCGGCCATCTACCCATTGAAATTAAACAAATCGCACACACACAAGCACATGTATAGATACATAAGTATAAATATATATATATATATATATATATATATATATATATGTGTAAGTGTAAATGTACGTGTGAATGTACCCAATTGCAGATATATTTACAATTTACTTGTTCGTTCCTTCGCTTTTTTCTATTCTTCACAAAAAAAAAGAGTGTGCGTAGATTTTTTTGCCACATAATACAGAAATCATTTCCCTCCCTTTGGTGTTTTTATTTACAGTCATTTCATTTTAACTGCGTGTGTGCAAATATAACTTTGTTATATATGCATGTATAATGACAAGCAGTCTATATAAAAATATAACGTGAAGTCGCAAATTTATTTTTTTTTTTAACTTATATTGCATATTACTCTTATGCATTTTTCGCTATTTATTATTGCTTCATTGCTCATTTTCTACATTTTGCATGTATTCATAAATACGCATTCTCCCGCGTTGCATTTCGCTTGTGTTTATCAAGGTTTTTTTTTTGCGAGAGCTTTTTGTTGTGCTTCCCAAAGAGAGAGAGAGAGAGAGGGAAGCAGAGAGAATTAAGTGTGTGCATGCTCTTAACAAAAGCGTATCAAAACAAAAAAAAAAAGAAACGTACAGCACAATTACTTGTTCTGATGATGTCTGTCGCCTTATGAGCACGTTGATCTATTTTTCCACATAACAAGAATTTTGTTGATGTGTTCATTTCATTATATAAATTTTAATTATATATGCGGCTTATTACCTTGACAATATATTTTGTATCACGTCCCGCTTCATATTTCATTAAGTGTTATACGCTACAGTCACATTTTTTTTTATTAAATTGAATAATAAATATATATAATTTTTTCAATAAGTGGAAATTATAGTGAAAACAATATACGAGTGAAATGTAAATATATATGTATACATATAAACAATTACAGCATGAAAAAAATTTATATATAAAAGCATAATTTCATCACAATTTTTATAAAATTGTATGTATACTAAAACAAAACATGTATTAATTAATGTTCTCCCGCTCTCTGGTATAAAAACATGCAGATATGCTTTATGTATATATATATATATATATATATATATACTTATGCACTACAATACATACTACCAAAAGTCTAAAATTCAATTAGATATATATATATGTATAAACTTTTAAATATACCACGGCATGTGAAAATTTTCAAAAAATAAGCCACCGGTTATTTTCTCTTTTTGTCTATGTATCGAGTATACAATTCTTTTCATAGTTTTCTCTATAATCTATTTCATAAACATCCAAACAAAGAAACAAACACTGCTAAAAACCTGTCACAATAGCTTTTAGTGTTCAACTATATAATAAATTGAAAACGTTTGGTTAAAGTGAACATTAAAAATTTAAGTGCGGGTGTCGAAAAGAGAGGAAAAAGAAGAGCAAGCGCAATGACAATATACATGAAAAGAGATAAATGTAAACATGTTTAATGCACGACGACATTTGCATATCTTGTATTTCTCTCTCTCTCTCTCTCTATATATATATATATATATATATATATATATATATGCATGAATCTCATTCTCTCTGTTTTTATTATGAAATATTATAGATAGTCACGAGTGTGTGTGTGTGTGTGTGTGTGTACGTATCTGAAAGTAGTAAAATTGTAGTTTGATGTTTATACAATAACTCGCCACACTAAAAATTGTTTTGTATATCACAATGCACAGTGTCATATATACTCACGTAGATATCTGCATATATGTATATATATATATACACATGTATCGATAGAGCGTGAAAGAGGAATAGTATACGTTATATTTGAATATGGCCTTGTATTTGGGACAAACTACTTGGAGAAAAAAAATCTATAAAAATAACAATAAATTCATTTATACTATGCTATTATAAACACACAATCATAACCCTCAAGTTGATATCTCACTCATTCGAAAGTTAATGATTATTACACACAAAGACAAACAATTTAATCGAACAGATTTATTTCGAGTACACTTGCTAGAACAATAAAAACGTTTCGTTTAGTTTCTGTTAGTTAGGTTCTTGTTACATTTGCCAACCGTTAGATTGATCGTTGGGATATCACTTTTACTAACTAAAAGGAAAATCTAATAGGTATAATTTTTTTTCTGTTGGATTAATGAAAGAAAAAAAGTGTCAGGTTTTTTAGAACGAGCTCTCTTTACCCAAAAGTGTTTTAAAACTTTGCCATTTGCATTGCATTTCCTTATACATATATTTATCACTTTTTCCTCTAAGGAAAGTGAAATTTTTTTTTAAATATACATACAATTTACCTACCAGCCGATTTGTGTAACCTCTAGAAAATATTCATTCTATATTTGACAAAGTATACATGTTGACATATAGGCTTAAGTTTTTAATATTTATCCTTTCATGCTTGTCGATGTAACTATTATATTTCTAAACTATTCATATTTCTTTGGTTATTGATTGTATCATAAATTTCATAAATTCTATATATTTCTCTAATTAATAATATATTTACATATAATTCATTATTTCAATACTTTTAACAGTAATTTTTTTTATAAATTTTCTTTTTTTTTTTTTATTGTCATATTTGTACATACAGATATCAACATTACAAACGCGCATATATTATTACTCAAGATGCTGATTATTCTTTTTAGTGCTCTCATTTTGTCCTTAATCTGCACACGCGCTCTAACGGACACTATCATTGTCACTTATTTGTCTGCATTTTGTTGCTGTACCTTTATTTTTGTTAAAATTAATAATATATATATATATATATATATGCCGTTATCACGTACACAAACAATAATCGGTAGCCGGATTTCGAGTAAATAAGCACCTACATAAATAGCAACTGCAATGTATAACCCAGTGTTGCAAATGCATATGGCGTACAGTATTCTCCATTTAAATAAATCTTTGCGTGGAGTATACAAATATATGTTTGGAAGTGCAAGAGTGCGTAATAAATATTCTGCAAAATATCGAAAATAAAATTGTTATATAAACATTTCATTCATTCAATTCACTAGTATACGCCATTATAGATCTAACTCATGCTAACTTTCTCATTACAATCTATTTCTTTTTTTTTTTTGGTGCTTTAGATTTTTTCCAAATGTGTACGAAATCATAATTTCATTATTGAAATATGTGGAAGAAAAAATTTGGCGTGGCAAACGTATTTCGTCTCAATTGCGATTGATAGCAACTTTTTTCAAGTTTATCCGCATATATAGTAAAAGTACTGTATATTAAAAGTGTACGCAGAACTTACTCTTGTCTTTTAACCGATTACCATGTTTTCTTTTGTATATTTTTCTTATTTCTTTATTCTCTTTTTGTGCGTACTGTTGACATTACTCAATTTTTTTTGCTTGAAATGTATAAAAATATATACGCAAAAAGAGAAAATAGGATTGAAATATGTTTAAAAATTTGTTGAATGAATTTTTTAAATTAAGTTACGTTTTTTGTATTTTTTTTTTTCTAATTTCTTAAATTTTAAGCAATTAAAAAAATTTGTTAAATGTGACGAGGTGTTCACAAAATTTTTACATATGCACAAGGAACGCAAAAAAGTATCTGAAAGTGTAGGTAGTTAATGTATACTTTTTTTTTGGTTGTTTCCTTTTTGATGTGATTTTTGACTTTCTTCTTCACAATATATCGTCTGTCCGATATTCTAACTTTTTCGATGTGCACATTTTTTTTTGTAATTGGATTATCAAGCATTGAATAGGGTTGCCAGTTTACTACATATATTAAATATATGCGATAAAGGTAACTTCCGTACAACACAGTCTCACATAAAAAAAATTGGTGGTAATGAGAAACTTCCTCACAGCGCATACACCTTCATAAAATGCGAGCATCGAAATTAGTCGTATTATTAGCAAAGTTAGGTTTCAATGTTTTTAAAAAATCCGCCTGAGTGGTCGAAGGCAAGAAATCTCGACTTACAATTGAATGGTCGTGGGTTGGAATCTCAAGTGCGGCAGAGTTTTTAATAATAGTCTTTAGATGCTATGGCTTTAACAGTTCAGTGTTTAGAATTTATTTCTCTGGCGAAATTAATAATAATAATAACGTTTCAAAAAAGATTTCCCTCTCCAAAGTTCTAAGAATGAAAGCGTTTTAGGTAAATATAAATCGCCAAAATTAATAGAAAGTAGAAATTTGTCATCAAAATGTATTTAATATATGGTAGAAATTTTAAGACTTCTGAGAGTTCTTGCAAAGCTTAGCTTGATAAATTTCTCAAGATTCGTGGAATGAATTTGTGATACACAATTTGTGAACAACAATTAGCAAATTAGTAAAAGAATATAGCAGGATATAATTGGACCTTTCTGCTGTAATTTGAAATAATGTAATAGGTAGCGGACATAAAAAAATCCAGTTTTTGTTTTCAATTCTATGAATAATTCTTAAAGCTTTTTAAAAAAAGTAAAATAACACGAGCGGAGTGAATCATTCGTTGTTGATTTCTTGAATTCCAGAAGATTTTATTAATTTTTTAATGTTGGCAATGACTAAATTTATTATTAAGAATATTTTACATTAATAAGAGATTTTTAATGTTATTCTTTTTGTTTCTTTCCTTTTTTGCTTGAATTTTTCATGCCATTCGAAATATCATTTTTCTTTATGCATATTTCGAATGTGGTTTGCGGCGGTTACTTGTAAATTCACTCACTTTTTTGTTGTTTGCTTAATTTTTTCTTTTAAATGAACTTTATATGATTTTTCAAAATGCGACAACCACTATGTGATATGAAATTCACGTTTGTAGTAGGGGTTTTTATTTTTTATATTTTGTAACCGCGCTAGATCTCTTCTTTTCGATTTGCTCTCTTTCTATTCTCTCTCTCTATTATTTCATTTAGTTTTTGTTCAGTTTTTCGTTCCGCATTGTGTACTTGCTTAGACTTGTTTATTGGTCTTTAGCTTTTTTTTCTATTTTCTTTTTTGTTACTCTGTGTGGTATTCTTTTTAACTTTTGGGTGCGTGTAGTTGTTGTATTCGTTAGTGTGTACCTATAGATATTTTAGTTGTTCCTTTGCTGTGTGAAAAGAAAGAAAGAAAGAAAGAAAAGAAAAATGTAATATGTGCCCAGAAACTTGAAAAAATATGCAACGAATATTGACGAGTATTTAATTAAACATCAGTTTTATTTTGTAGCCCGATGAATACGTGTGGAATTGTGTATCGCGCGCACTTTTTATATTTAAAAAAAGGAGAAAAAAATTTTTTTTTTTGCATTTTGAAAATAAAATTAAAACTGTGAATGAATCTACCTAGTAGATTCTAATAATTAATAACCATAGCTAACAATAATATTATTTGGTATGTTGTTTTCAAAGATTTGCTTCAATTTAACAAGAGAATAATTTTAAATGCAACGAAAACTTAAAAATAAATTTAAAGATCTGCTATATATATACATGTATATATAGGCATATAAATATATGTAAATATATATAGTTTATTTATATGTGTATTTTAAGTATGTCCCTTGTAATCTTTAAACATTTTAAATATTTTCTTACGTTTTATTCCGACTTTAAAAAAAAAAATAAAATATTTTTAATAATTTTTATTTGTGTATACGAGCATAGAATTTTCTTCTTTTTTTTTTTGCAATTTTATGCATGTATACATGCACTTTGTGTACTTTCCCTGTTGAGACATGCAAGAAACGACTAAACAATTTTACTGTTTGTACTAAGCGTTTACCTCTAAGTATGTATATGTACTTAAAAAAAAAAAATGAAGCAAAAACAATGCATGTTGTTATTCGCAAAGAAAAAAAAAAAATAAAGCAAGAAACCTCTAAAATAAGACGCCCAATACACATACAGAAGATGTTAAACAAGTCAGCTCTAGTGAGTTCAAATACAACGTACACTTAAAACCCGTACAGAGCATAAAAAAGACAAGCATATAAAAAAAATAAAAGGCCTCAAAAGCCTTAGTCATATATATATACATATCCATATATATATATATATATATATATATATATATACGCACAAATTCTCATATAATATCACTTTTGTGCTTGTGTGCATTTATCTTCAATAGAAATATTTCTACGTCCAGTAGTAGTTACTGCCAATAATATATATATATACATATATATATATATATATATATATATATATATATATATATATATATATACACATGCCTGTCTGGATTATCATAGTCATTATTATTTTTTAGGGTACATATATATACGTATATATACAATAATAATAATAATAATAAATTCTATAGAAAAATCCTATAACATCCACAGAAGCAGCAGAATAACAAATTGTGAATACACATATGAACATGCAATGTGTGGTATAATATGCATACGTTTGTTGCCGTTTTGCGGCCGCTCATCTCTCTGCCTTGTATTTTTCTCGCTCTCTAATTTTGTCCCTATGAGAGTGGCTGAAAAGACAGGCTATTTACTAGCAGGGCTGAGATTGAGACTCGCAAATCTCTCCAGACACTGTGGCTTATGTGTGCCCATAATTATAATGTTTTGCTGTACATTTTCGTGCACTTACACTGAAATTTTCGTTTTGTGTTGTGTTTTGTTTTCATTTTTTTTTTTTTTTTTTTTATTGATTTAAAGCAAAAACAAAAAAGAAGAAAATGTGATTTTTTTTTTTTTTTCGGTCGGTTAAAACTGGCGAGTTTACGTATGCAAGCTTAGTTTTAAAAAGTTTTGTTAAACTGGTTTAATCAACCTGATTTGAGCCGGTAATATACTACTCCCTCGTTTAACGCCAAAGGCACTCGGGCGCATACAATTTTTTATGTATTTAGGAGTCCAACACATACGCATGAAAAGCTTTACTTTTCTTTTTTTGTTTTTTTTTATTCTACTTAAGCAAACTGGCGGCTGTAGCATTAAAAATTAAATTTTTTAATCAAAGTTTTACTTGAAATTTACAACGATTTTTTTATATGCTACATAATAGGGACGGATATATATTTAATTTTACATTCTTGTATAAACGATATTTTGTATATTATTGGTTTGTTTTTAATTTTTTTTATATAAACCGATTTCCCGCTCTTTTTATTAATCGTTTCTTCAACAAAAATAATTTTGTTTTCTTCTCTCTCTCTCTCTCTCTCTCTCCCCCTTTCGTTTTATCTTCTCTAACTAAATTTTTTTTTTTTTTTAAAAGTAGTTTACGTACTTGCTCAGCTTTCTGAAAATTTTTTTTCAAGCTTGTTTTTATACTCTCGCGCATTTACTCTCTCGTTCCCACTAAATGCATTTGCAGACAATTATTGCATGCGTTCATGAGTTTGCATGTTCGCCAATAGTGTGTTGAACTTTATTATTCATTACTATTTTCTTGTTTTTTTTTTGCTTATTTCTTCTTTTTTTTTTTTTTGTTTTTTTTTGTTTTGATTTCAAAAGCGTAGAAGAAAGAGAAGCAAAAATTTAGTTTCTCTTGTAATTTATTCTTCTTTATACAAAGTTGGACTTTATTGTGCATTACTTTTCTCTCGGAGATATATATATATATATTTATATATAAGAAATGTTTACTAGAAAATACCATTGTATATATATATATATATATATATATATTTATATGTATGAGCATATATCTAGATACTTGTTTTTATTTTAAGGTGTTTCTTTTCTGATTCTGCTTTACACCACCTGATCAATTTTAGTTGATACGAAGTTAATGATTTTTATTTTTAAAAAGTATCTAAAAGAGATATATGCAGCTGATTTATAAAGAGAGTAATTATCAAATTTGTAATTACGTTTAAATATTTAAATCGAATCTATTTCGTATGCCGAGAATAAAACGGAAATTATTATTAATAATTTTGCCAAAGAATATAGTCTAAGATTAAAGTCTTAAAGCACCTAGTAACGATATCGGCTTTATTAAAAACTCTGCTCCAATTGAGATTTGAACCTAACATCATCGATTTATTATTTAAGACTCTTTGTGTACTCGATCCGTCAGACGAATTCGGAAGAGAATTAAAATGCGTCCAGAAGTATAAAATACAATTGAATCGAATCTCCCTCTATTGCCTGTCAACGTATGCTTACAATTTGGAAGCAATGAATGAAATACGTGAATATATTGAATACGTCACAAGGTTCAGTATATTTTTTTTGCAAACAAAGATTTGTTTAAATAATTTAAATATTTCCCTTTGTTCCAAGTATTTAACCATGATTTTCATACAGAACTTGTTATGCCTTGTTTTTGTTGTAACAAAAAGAAAAATAGTTTGAAATTCTCGTCCCATATTTTTAAGTCTACCTTAGTCTCTCCTAGTGTTTGTCCGCTCTTCTTCTTAAATTATGAAATTTTTTATTTTTTTTTTCAAAGATTGGGAATTAGATTTTTCTCGGCTTATTTTCTGATTATAACCGTTTTAGAGTTAAAAAGACTTATTCAAATTGAATGCTTATTTTTCTCCTTAGCGGCGCCAGTGTTAAGTGCTAAGTATTTCGGAGACCGTTTTGCCTTCTAATCGATTTCAAATTGCTGAACTAAACCCAAAATCAATCATGATATCTTTGCAAATTGGATTCTAAAGAAAAAAGAAAAAAAAATCTTTTAATTTCACGCAAATCTTGTAAGTCTTCAAACAAATTCATTCATTCTTGTTTTAATAGAATTCAATTGCATTTAAAATTGTATTTATTGCAAAGCTTAATAAATGAAATATTTATCATCGTTGTCCATTTATCGGGAAGCTTATGAGTGCTCATGGGCCAGAAACTTAATTGTTTGGATGCGAAATAGCTATCGATACATTTTTGTATGTCTTCAACTTTTGTAAGCCGCTCGCTTGTTTTAAATATGACTGCATCGACCTGAACAAGTGGTCATCATCGGAAAGATTCATATTTCTAGAATACCGCGTAGGGAGCAGTAAAACTTCTTTTACCGCACACGGTTGGGATGTGTGCAAATGTTATTGCTTTCAAAGCAACGATTTATTGCCGAAATCTCGGATAGTACTTTCTAAGTGCATTCTAATTTACGACGTTTTCATTACAAGTCAACTTAAATCATTTTCGTAAACACGTAAAAAACGCAATTCCATAAATTATCTCCATCCCGTTAAATTTCGATAGCATGTAAGCAACTGAAACTTACATTGTCCAAACATTAATACTTTTAAATTTTTATTTAAAATATTATACCATTGAAGCAGTCTTTGCACGGGATATATATATGTATACCATACCATACCATGTATATAACATGCTTATAAACTCCTATGCACTTTTAATGAGTTCAATATTTGGAATCGATCTAAGCATGCATGCCTGTCCGTCCATCCGCCCGTCCGCCTATGTATCATTTGTGGGTAATCCCGTATTCTCCCGTCGTAAAAATCATAAACATATTGGATTGAAATTTAATATAAAACATAAAAAATTTATGCTCGCAGATCAAATCGGTTAAACTGAAATAATTATGTCGTTGCTCATTGCTTATAGAGCGCGCTAAATGCAACGATAAAAATTCCTCACATATTCCGTTAGCGATAATAATCTGTATAAAAAAATATATATCGGCCTCTCCTACTCAATATTATAGAGTATCGAATTGTTTTTTGTTTTTTTTTTAAGGTTGTGGTGTGTAAAAACAAATTGACCGCAGAGGAATACAATAAATCTCTTATTTGTTTTCAGTTAGGTTTCAAATTAAGTTGGGTCCTGCGAAAGAGCGAAAAAAATTGTAGATAATTTTTCTTTTTCTGCACACACACACACACACACACACATTTAGTCGTCCACTGTTGGCAGCATTTTTTTTAAAAATAAAATAATAAACTAAGCATGAATAATTTTATTCGTCAAAATATATATGCCATGTGTTTGTTGGCTTAATGTCTATAGAAAATTTTATATAAAAAATCTTAGGAATGGATTGTTGTGTCCATTATCAATCATATAAAATATATAATATCGCATATATATATATATATTAAAAGAAAAAAATCTTCGCAATTTTTTAAACGATTTGAGTTCAAGTTTCTAATTATTTTTTTTATTTATTTTTTTTTTTTGCTAATTAAGATTTTCATTTTTTTTTTTTTTCTCTTTTTTATTTTTAGTAAATTATAAATAACTTAATTACACTAAATCGTATTAACATTTCAATGCAAATGTTATGAATGCTTACGCAAGAGGAATATCCGTAATAATCGTAACGTAAGAGACAGGCGCATTATATTTAAAATAGGAAAAACAGACATATCCTGGAGTCCGGAATAACGATAGCCTGCAATATGTTTAATTTTCATAAGCCCCGAACGTATAAATCGGCCGAGGGCTGTTGTATATGTCGTGCAAAAACCAGTAGTTCGCGTTTTACCGATTCGCGTAAATATGAACGTGACGCAATGCAATGCTTTGATCTCAAGTATCCACGTTACGGCGAAATATGTAACGCATGCGTATTGTTGGTGAAAAGGTATAAACGTCTACCGATAGGCAGTAAAAAAAATTGGGGTCATGTAAGTTTCCTTTTTTTTTTTTTTTTTTTTTTTTGTTTTAATTAAAGAAAATAATTAAAATTATATCTTTAACTTTGAAATCAGTTGAGTAATAGTTTACTTATCATTTGTGTTCATGTTTTTTTTACATATTTTGTACAGGTTGTCGATGCTCGTGGCGGACCTGGTAGTAATAAATTGCAAGTGAAATATAAAAGTGAACGTATTAGTTCCAGGGTAAATAACAATAGTACCGGCCAAGCTAATTCAATTGCTAATAATAGTGGTGGTGGTGCTAATACTAGTAACAGTTCCGTAGTTGCTGCTGGTGGCTTGAATTTTATCCCTGAAAAATTTAATAAGATATTTAAAAAATCGAAAAAAACTAAAGAGCCATCGACATCGTCTTCGCCTACAACCGGTACAACCGGTAAACGCAAAAGCACAAGTCATGGTTGGTCGCAAAATCCAACAAACAATTCGTTGCCCACTACGCCTGATTCGATGGACAGTGATTATGAAGATAGTCGCCTACATGGCGCTTTAGCAAATACAGTTGTTCAATTTCAGACGCAAACACGCGCTTCAGCTCATCGGGCAGCCGCTGTAGCCGACGCACGCAAAAAGGCTTTACAAATGGGTAGCAAACGGCGGAAATGTGCGATTCCACGTAAAAATCTCAAAAATCCAATTTACGAAGAGTCTATGAACTTTTTCGATGACGGTGAATGGCAAGAAAAGAAAACATGTTGTGGAATGGTTTATGAGTGCGCTGCCTTAGCCGGAGCGATAATTGTTGATTTTATGCACTATAAACCTTGTGGTGTGCATAAGTCTTCTTCGCAAATCAAATCATCAAATTTGGAAGAGAAAGTCAAAATGTCGTCCGCACTAGATGCAACAACATCAGTAACATTAAATTCGACAGCAACAACAGCAGCCTTACAAAAATCTATTATAGCCACGATGCCGTCAGTGGTACAAATTGCCCGACCCTTATCAACGCCATCTACACTCTCAACGACATCATCAACAGTGCTGGCAATGCCGACCAATCCAGCATCATCCTTACTTGTAGCTTCGCCTAATACAGCTTCTGTTAGTGGAAGTAATACAAAACCCACCCTAGCGCTTAAGAAACATTATCTATATTACAAAAGACAATCGGAATGTTTCCCTCAAGGTGATAATGTGGTGACAAATTGCACACAAGCCATAACTCAATCAGCTACACCTTCGCTTTCCGTTGATCCCCTCAAGACTGAGTTTGAAAACAACTCCTTAATGCCACAACAACAGCAAGAAAGTACAATCTCAAATAGCTCAATTATAACCGAAACTCCAATGCCAAATGCCATAACATGCTCAAACAATAACAACAACAACAACAACACTATAATAAATAATAACGATAGTAGCACCAGTAATATCATCATCAGCAGCAGCAGCAATAACAGTTCAAATTATTTGAATACCACGACGCCCAAACATTCCAATGCTAAAGTCACCACAATAACGTCACCACCGCTAATAACGGGTCCCTGTAGCGCAGGCAACGTTAATAAACTCTTACCTTTAGGAAAGCCGCAGAGTGTTTTACATAAAATTAAAACTAACGAAGCCGGTAAAGTTATTAAAAATTCTTTGGATAAATCGAATATGGCGCCATCATCACGTCTTAAATCAGGTGATTTTCCAGATATGAAACATGTTATTAAAACTGTGGAGAAATCATATGTGTTGGCTAAGCCAATACCAACGACAACGCAAACTAATAACATAACTCAAATAAATACTACTCAGCATCCATATCAACCTTTAACGGGTAATTACGCGACAACACAATCGTTGACTGCATCATTATCGGCTACTTCGCCGACATCGTCCACATCATCGACCTCGTCCACCAAATTTAGTGATAATTCATCAGACTCGGGCTTTGATGAGAATATGTTAGATCGAAAATCCGCCAGTCCTCTGGTAAGACTTGTGAACACAAAATAATTTGACCTGTCTATACATAACAATTGCTTCTCTCTTTTTTTTTTTTTTTTTTTTTTTTTTGTTTTTTTGTTTTTTTTTTTTTTTTTTCGTTTGTCTATTTTCATGAAGCAAGAGGATACTGAAAAAAAATTATTAAGTCGTCCTGGAGTACAAACGATGTTTTTAGCTAGCGGTGTTCAAATACAAGGTCAGCATCAAAACTTAGTGTTTACTGGCAATGAAGTGGCAGCAAAAATTTTGAAAAATCGTACACAACAGCAACATCATTTAATGGCAACCGCATCGATGCCAGCTAATGTAAGTTACATGGCAAATAATGATATTATAAAATATTTTCATAAGTTTTTTTTTTTTTTTTTTGATTATTAGGCGCGATCTTTAACTAATAATGCAGCAACATCGGTTAAAATTGCGCAAATTCCAACGACATCATTGATGTGTATAGGAGGTAATGTGGCCGCAACAGTACAAGCAAAAGTGCGTACAATGTACAACAATAATAATTCCATACAACACGAAAATGGTATAACAACAATTGTTCCAGCGTCGTCGTTAGCAGCTACCAATCAAACGGCAGCAATGAATAATATACAACCAAGTACAGTAACAATTACTCCAGCACCGGTTAACAGCAGCGGTGGTAACGGTGGCGGCAGCGGCAGCGGCAACGGCAACGGCAGCAATATCAATAAAGCGCAATATAGTTCTAATGGTAATGGCGCAACAGTGCATCATCAACAACATCAGAATAATATGACGCGAAAACTAACAGCAGCGACTACTACTAACATTATTAACTTACATAGCAATAATTTGGTGACGCCTGCAATGGCCGCTGGCCATACATATGGCGGCAATCACGCAAATTTAAGCAATAATCTGAATGGTAATCAGCATCATAGCGTCGTCGGCGGCGTCGGTGTCGGTGTCGGTGTCGGCGGCGGCATCGTCAACAATTCAATTAGCAATAATGCTGCGGCAAGTTTAAATCAAAAAATTATTTTATTAAAAACGTCATCGAATGTCGGTGCAACGATAACATCATCAAATACAAAATATAACAACAGCCGAACATTAACAACAGCAATGAATAACGCACCGACAATTACGGGAGGAGGAGGAGGAGCAATAGGAAGTGGGGTAATACGTTAAGATTTATTGGCTAAAAAATACGTATTTTATATAATTGTGTAGAGAGTAGTTTGTAGTAAGTAGTACAGTTCAGTTTGATTTTCCTATTTTTTTTTTTTTTTTTTTTTTTTTTTTTTTGAACTTGTATTTACTCCTTGAATTATTTTATTTTGATTTTAGTTAACATTTTTATAAGATTTTATTTTTATTTTAAGTTTCCATCGTTTTACGCATGTGCATATATATCCGTGTTTGTATTTTTATTTCTTAATTTTTTTTTTTTTTTTTTTTTTTTTTTTTTTAAATTCTTACACATTTTCCAAATTTTCTTTGATTATTGCTTTTAAAGCCTTCTAAAATAAGATTATTGTTCTTTTTTAAATGCTTTCCAAAAATGATATATAATCGTCTTTGAGGAAGGAAGAGAGATGCCTGCGAGTAGAAATTTAATATTTCTTCCTTCGTACCTTTGGGAAAATACAATCCATGAATATTAAATGCTTAGAAAATTCTTAAAGATAATATCAATATCAATAGTCTTCGACGATATAAATACGAATGCTTAACACACAAAAGTAATAATGCCAGAAGAAAATAAAAATAAAAGAAAAGAAAAGAACAAAAAAAAAAACAACTGAGGGACTTTTTTCGTTGCAAAGGAATTATTATAAATATAGATGGAGGATAGCTAAGGAGGAAGGGAAGGAAATTAGCTTAAATAAATGAAACACATAGCGCACGGTCGAGCACAAATAAAAGAAGAAGATAAACCATAGTTGGCCATAGCCTTAAAGCTGACTTTCTGTTACACATTTATGCATTTATGACAATGACCATGCCTCTTTCATATTTCCATTTTGCTTTCATTTAATTATTTGTTCCTTTCGTTTCTCATTGCCCGGAATATTTAATTCTTTCAAATTGTTTCACAAATTTGTGAAAAATTGTGCTGATCCCCCTTACTGCGAAATTTCTAATTCGTTCCTTTTTTCATTTTTAAGCAGTTTTGTGCACGAAAACACCATTGATCAAGTGGGTACACCAGTTTTATTTTGTTTTTTTTTTTTTTTTTGTACCATAAGATTTTCAATTGGCCATTTTTCGGAACGATTGCAGCAATGTTGCGTCGATAGCGCAAACTTTCATTACAAATTTCTTCGTCGTCGTCTTCTACGAGTTAGCAAATCGGCAACAGATGAGCGGTTGAGTTGAGTAAAGAGGTTCCTTCTTTTTTTTTTTTTTTTTTTTTTTTTTTTTAAACTTTAATAACGTTGACAGATGACTTGATAATACATAAATGTTCAATTCAAATGATGACGTCCGCGCTACGTTACGTAACTAATATCAATCATTATTATCGATCATGAATTTTAAATTAATTTTCTGTCCTTCTTCTTCTTCTTCTTCTTCAAAGGATTACAAGACGTATTAGCGTAGAGTGAAGTTCGTAGTGTGAGAAGAGAAGTGATGGAGTGCATGTGTATCGAAGAGTGTTGCTATGGAAGAAGTGAAAGGGCGTGTGAAGGGGTAGATTCATAATTTGGCTGTGAATATTTATTTATATGTATTGTTGGGCAAGCTTTCGAAAAAGTGAATATCGGAATCGTTATGAAACTGACTTAGAGGGTAATTGCTGAATGCTATCCTGTGCTGCAACCAAGCATATTACGATTATTACAATACATTTTTTCCTTTCACAATCTAAGCGCGTAAAGAACGGCTTCGTTAGCGAACAAATTAAATTCTCTTTGGCAGGCAAATGCCGGAATTTTTGAAATTGAGACTGAGAATGTCGGAGGTTGAATAAAGTTTTTTTGGTACCTTCGCATATTTGCATAGAAGGTATTAACCGTTATTACAATATTATAAAAGTTGACGTTTCGGTCATATTGACAAAGTCTGTATTCGATTTTTTTTTTTTTTTCTGTGTTTTCTGTGGCATCAATTATGAGTCGCGTCATCCTTCTGTTTCCAATTTAAAAGATATATTAACTGCCAGGGTGAGCAGGTGTGTAACTCAAGGATTTGTCTTTCTTAAAAAAAAAAATGTTAATACCTAAAAGAAAGTCATGTCTACTCCTTTCCTTCTCTCAAAATACTTAGGCTCATCTAAATCCCAACTTTTCCCTTTCACTTGCAAACTTCCCTAACTTGTCTCCCCTGAATATACCCACGATTGTTAAACGATTCAATCCCAAGATTGCCGTCTCCATAACAAATAAAAACTCGTTAGATCATGAAACGGCGATTCCACGGCAGGTAAAAAATCCTTACATTATGAAATGATTACCAATATTATTAATAAAAATAATAATAATCCTGTAGTGAGCTTCTGATCATAACTTGTTACATTCCTTAGATGATTGTACAGGTCTGATGTCCCCGAGTTAATATGTGGAGACTTTAATGCTAACAACGTGCGTTAGGGTTGGGTCGTTTTTGCAATTCAAGATCTCCTTGAAAGCAAAAATTTTAGTTTTTTTAAATAATGGTGACCCATTTCGGTGCTCCATCTCCTCCTGCATAGATCTCTTAAACTGTACATCTTGCCTTAGTTCCCCAAGTACGTGAACCGCTTTTAACGATATCCCCTAGGTGGTTCTCATTGCTCAATTGAAATTGATCTTCATTTGCTTCCCGTCGTCCGCATATTTGTACATGCCCGAGTTCGAAAATATGCCAAATTCTGTTCGCCAAACAACATTGACCGTAACATGTCAAAAGCCATCCAACCCAATGACCCATCGGGTCATTTCTTCGGTAATCTTTATTTCAACAGTCTTCTGAGCTGGAAAACTTCAAAAAAATTACATCCTCGTAATGGCTGGTAGAATACCGCATGCAATCGAGTCGTTTCGAAACTTACAACTTAGCAGATTTTTTGCAGATGTTGCTCTCAAGTTTTCGTACTAAGTCGTTTTCTTTCTTGAGAACATTTCATTTTTGGACTAATGCTGATGATTTTCAGTCATTTTCAGTTCTAACTCTGATTCAGAGTAGTGCAGACATATTTTACCCTTGCCTGTCCTTGATATTATCCCATCTCTTCTCGAATCTCTCCTGATTAAACTTTCAATTAATAGGACTAAAAAAATTGCCTTAGCCGATTCAAAGAATACTACTACTTCATACTTAGTCACTTTTGCCCAGAAATTGTGAAAATTATAATTTTTTCTCTCATAATACCGACCGTTTCGAATAGGTCGTTAAAATAGGGGAAGTGGTCGAAAAAGTGAAACGATCCCCCCAAGCATATTCAACAGCGTTTGTCCTTGGGTCAAAACATGTCACTGTATCTCAAAATTGTATTGACCTGTAGCTTGAACGCAAATTTACATGGACGAACATCAGACGGACAGACAGGCTTAGATCAATTCAGATTATGATGATTCGTTATCGATCGGTATAATAAAAGGTGGTTTCATCTGAAGCTCTTTTGCGTGTTGCACACGACCGAACTAAATGTACTCCGCAAGTGGTGGTGGTGTAGGGTGCAAAAGGAAGGATGATTTTTTTTCGCTGTGACTGTGCAAAAATTTTATGAAGTTACCATGTAATGATGTATACTTTACTCATGATAAACTTCCAAGGTTTTAATTTTTGTAATTCTCGCCGCAAACTGAGCTTATGTCCGAACAATTTTCGCATAGGAGGGACGATAGACACTTTCATTTTTGTAATATTTTTCGTATTCTTATTCTTGTCATTGTATGGTCCTATTTCGTAGAGGATGGTAATGACTGTCCAAAATGATTTTTTTTTTTTTTTTCTTTTTGTGTAGATCAAGACGAGTTTGAATATCATTGAAATCGGATGCCAATGATCGAATTGATAAATATTTGCAAATTTGAAATTTACATTCTGATGGTGTACACCAGTGGAGAACTGAAATCAGATATTCTAAAACAAATTTCCCGATATAATGTTCAATGTTCAATGTTCACATGGACTCGTCAATACTAAGTTTTCATTCTATGTTTACAATGTTTTTACTACAATTCTATTATGATAATGTTGTAATATTGTTTTAAATAATTGTTATGTTGACGCAGCTCTAAAATCCCCAAGCAACATCATCGTCAGTATATGATGATGGATACCACCGAATTTTTTTTTTTTTTTTTTTTTTTTTTTTTTTTTTTTAAAATATATAAATCAATGTTTAGCTTCATTTAAATTATTATCCATCCTCTCTTTGCATTAATAAACCGAATACTTTTATTAATTTCTTCTTGTTAGTTTTATAAAAGGTGTCGCAGAATGAGCTCACATTTCACAGTTTTAAAGCGGGTGGGTGGAGAGGGCCCCCCCCCCCCCCGCCCCGGGGATTCACAAATATCAGATAAAAAAATGCGTTTTATTTAGAAGACAAAAAAAATTAACTCATTTTGAGACACCTATAAAATGTTTTAATATAAATAATGTGTGAAAGCCACCAAAAAAAATAACATTTTTGACGAAACCAGAAGTATTTCTGATAGTTACACCAATAGATTTTAAATTAAACGTAGCTATACATATATATACATATATATATATATATATATATATATTTATTCATCTACGAAATTTATACATGTTCACCTACGAAATATGCACTTTTCGTAGAGCCCGGACTCGAAGTATTTAGTATTATCAAATTTTTGTAAACCTGTCTCTGCGAAAAGTGCAACAAATGTTTCATAGATGAACATATATATACAAATATATATACATATAAATATATATATATATAATAATATTAAATATTTGCAATCATGGCCCTGCGAAAAATGTAGTAAGTGTTTCGAAGATAAAGACAAATTCAGCGACCTATACTGCATATATATATATATATATATATATACCGCTACGATATATATCCAACCTGAAAAAGAGCAAAATAATTGAAAAAAGAATAGAGAAATAAATTTTTTTTTTTTCATAATAGTTTGCCTTTAATGTCCATAGGTTCTCTTTTTCATGTCTCCAATTAAGCTCATAGACGCTATTGTTGTACAAAAAGTTGATTTTATTGCTTAACATTCACAAAAGAAATTCTCGGGGCCTCTTTCAGCTCCTATGTCATCGATATGGGTCAGTAAATTGATATTTATTTACGAAGAATTTACTGCATGTTTCGCACGGTCAGGATTATAAATATTTATACCTACATAATATATATAAAAAGTATAAATATAATTACTGTAAAACAAAAAAAAAAAAAAAAAAAAATGTTTGTATCAAATTGATTCATTTACATACCGACTATTATTTAAATTCGAAAGAAAAAAGGAAAAAATGAAAAAAAAAAAAAAACTAAATAAAAACAATAATATTTACAATAAAGATTAAATATTTAATTATGATATACATTAATGAGAATTATTGTTTAAGAAAATTAATTTTAAAAGATAATTAAAAATAATAAGACATTTATGAATATGTGTAAAGCAGAAAATATTTTAATAATTATATGTAGCCTTAGTAAAGAAAAAAATAATCAAAAATAAATAAAACATTCAAGTTTTCTTAATTATGGAGAGGAGCTAAAATAAAAAAAAAATATATAAAATAAAATTATAAAAGCAATATTATCGTAAATTTGTTAATAAAGCAAAAAAATATAATTCGAAAAGAAACAAAAGCTATAAAAATATATATATAAATATATATATATATATATATGAAAAGAATTTTAATAATAAAAACATCTTGTTTGAAATTATGGAATAATTAAATACATTTAACTTAAGTACAATGCATGCAAAAATATATAAAATAAATAAATAATTTAAGTTAAAGAGGAACCATACGTTAAAAAATAAAAATAAAAAAATTGAATCGAACCATACTCGAGTAGAATTGAATAGCATTTTACATAAAACATATATATATATATATATACAAACTTACATACACATACACACACACACACGTACACGTACACGCTCACACACTCACAAGCATAAACTCACACGTAATTGTAAGAATTTCTATCTCTACTTAAAATGCATAACAACTCAAATGACGTACTTTGAAGAAAAAAAAAAAAAAACAAAACAAAACAAAAAAAAATTGAAAAAAAATATGATTTAATTAAAAATTCATATAAAAATCTGCCTTTTATTTACACCTTCCTAAAGCTGCTACATACTCAGACGATAGGCCAAATGTACATAGGAAGAACAAGAGCAATGTAATTTTAAGCCGGTAGAAAAAAGCATATTAAAAATAAACTTTCCTTTTTTTATTTTTATTTTTTATTTTACAAAATTTCGTTATCTTAACATTTTTTTTTTTTTTTTTCGTGTACATTATATTTAAAATTTGTTGTGAAGTGCGGTGGAGGTTTATTAAATTTCAACAACTTATATAACACCTAAGAATATTTATCACCAATTCCATAACCAGCCTGATCTAGATCAGCGGTCTGGAACTTCGTATAAATGCTTAGCAGGATCATTTGACAGTTCAGCGCAAAATTGATCGCGACCGAGCAACGGTGATCGGCAATGCCTGAATTCAACAAAATAGTTTGTCGTATTTTGTTTCCTCAATGAAAAGTTGTACGTATAATTTTTTATAGACGAGGAAGTATAGATGTACATCGATTGCTTGGTGCAAGGGTATACTAAGCTTGTGCGGACAAATTGTGGGAGAGGCGAATTTTTTCTTATAGTCATCGATTCAGAATCAATTCATGAAAAAAAGTAATATTCTTCAGGCATTTTTATGTAAGAGGGCCACGTCGAACGCCACTTTTGTATAACAGAATAACATAGCCAATTAGCCATAGCCAGTTAATATAGCCAAAAGATCGGACGGTCGGAGGTTGTGGCATATAAACTCACGTGCCATTGTAAAGTTAGCTAGCGACAAGCACTCCATAGACACGCACACACCGACAGTCAGACAACCGAAACTTTCTTACCGGATGGGCTGATGCTAACCCTTGGGGTATTTTATGGTTTCCTTTGGCTCATAATTTTGTGCATAAATCTGTCCGTCTCATGTTCATGTGTATGCCAGCTGCAGGAGAAATTCTTTTAGGTATTAAAATGATTCGAATCGAAGCATTTTTTTCGGCCCCTTTTCATATACATACATCTTATTTTGAAAAGTCTTCATATGAATTAACTGCATTAGGCAAAGTGAGGTAAGATCTTTAATGGCGGACCTCTGTCCCTTTGTCCCTCTATTTCTATTTCCTTTTTCTTTATCACACAACTATTTTTCTTGTTGAATATAATAAATCGCAAAATATTTTGTTGGAGTATTGACTCAACTTTATGTTCAGAATCGATTTAACTAATTCGCTTCCATCCACAATCAATTTGCCTGCTTTTAAAAAGAAAACCGAAATTTGACTCGTTAACGAGCTTCTCAACAAAACAAAAATGTAGTTATCGAAATATGGCGATTAATCAAGATTTACTTTTAAGAGAAGTAACACATTTGGATTCATCGATAAATACTGGAACTAACGTCGTGCAACTGATGAAACGCTATACAACTAATTCTATTTTCCCTTATTAGACATATTCGACTAAATGACGGGTACGGTATTATTTAAAAAATGAATAAACCTCTTAATGAAATACGTAAAAGCACTACAGTGGGCCACAACCCACCATTAAATATCATATACGACTCTATAGTTATTTTAATAATGACTTCTGCAATAGAAAGCATTATTAGGCGTATTGGCCGAAAAAGTAGTCCGATCCGAATTATTTTCCATATCGTCCGTCATTGGGCCAAAATAGGTCAGTGTATTAAATTTGATGAAAGTTTCTCAAAAATTCGCGTTCTTAAGATTAAGTCGATTTAGAAAGTGATAATGTATTTATCGATATAATAAAGAGTGGGTCTATCTCAAATCGTTCCACGTATTGCATACATCCTCGCAAATTTAATATACCTTTGTAAAACCAACGTTGTTTGGGTATAGGAGAGTAATGAGTTTCATATTTATTGCCTACAAAAGAATTGTGCTACAGCTGGCATGGTCCCTTCGATATAACATAAATAATTAGGAAATCGCGAGAATCGGTAACTAAAGAGAATCTTAACCTTAAAACCCTTCCACGTGAACTTAGAAATGGTCTAATCCATTGTTAAGGCTGCTGACGTATTTCAGAACTTTTTAGAAATGCAGGACGAGAGTTATTCCCCAAGAAAACTTGTGAACTTTATTTAAGTTGATTGAAAGGCGAAAGTTGTTCCCGTATATTGAAGATGTCGTGTCTTCGCTGATCATTGAACAGGGACAGCATGTCAACTTCGAGATATATTAAAGAATTAATTTCAATTATTAATTGTACTCATTCGCTACGTTTGGGTCCATCGAATAGCTGAATAATTCGATTATGATATGGGTCTCTTGCGATGTTTCATTGTTACTTATTCGCCAAGGTTTCTTTGCAAAAATTGTCGATAATGTTTAAGTCTTGTCCAGTCTAGCCTTCTCCTGCTTCTGCAAATTATTGCTTTGTAATAATTTGGATATATTTGTTGTCACTTTCGCTAACTCTTCGCTTGCTCCTCTCACTTGCTTTCACCGCGGGCTTCACGAAATGTGGGGGGATTGAAATGCTACCGAGAGCAGACGTTAATCTTCTTTGTTTTGGTGCACGCTCTTCTTCTACAATCATGTATCATGAATCAAACCTATCCACCTAGTCCAAATCTAAGCGACATGTTGTCCTGTAAATTGCAACTGTTTTAGTAAAATGTTGCTTGTTATATTGCAATTTTTTGTGAAACAAAACATTAAATAAATCAAAAAAAATTTCAATCAATATATATAATAAATTAATAGTAAATATGCAACTTGTAAGTTTAAAAAAAAAAAATCATCTTCTTTTGTTCTTTTCCTACGGGTTTTTTTTTTCCTTTTGTGTTCCTGATGTGTAGATAACGTCAAACTCATATACTGGCGAATTTCTATAAAGCATCGTGAGAAGATGAGCACTTGAGTTTAATTCCCACGCTTAAAAAAAACAATCAAATCCCATTGTCATCCCAAGACTATTTGCAAGGTCGCACATTGTATATGCGCAAGAGGTCAAACTTAAAAATCCAACACTATTAACAAAATTCATGATCTCTTTAAGTAATAATGATCAGGAACAAGTATGGCAAAGATAGGACGCGTCAACATTAAAATTAGTAATTAAAGCTAAGAGTCACTTGAGGAGTAAGTTGCTCCATTCAAGAATCTTTAATTTCAACATTTCGCCATTTGACAACGAAAAGCCTCGAAATGGTACGCAGCGAAACTGGCTCAAGTATCGCTCGTGTGTAGTTTCCATACCTCTTGAGGCATTGCTTGGAAAGGAAAGATAGTCGATCCTTCGAGATAGTGTCTGCCTATAATATGAATTTTTTTTATTTATAACAAATATGCAAGATAATGTAATGGACCTTATCTTTAGTGAAGCATATTGACTTTTTTTTTGTTTTTTTTTTTGCCTACCGATCGATATCTTCGTTCATTAGGAAATTCTTACGACTAATTGTACATAAACACACCTTACACCTTCATATTACACATTTGTAATAGTGCCACCTGAGCATTTTTCGGTTTTGATTTCACTTTTTAAAGTTAGATGACTTAGTTCAGTTTTACATTTCTTTCGCGTAGGTGACGGCTCCTTTACGTTGAAAAATGTGAAGGAATTTTTTTCTGCCTTGCGTTGAGCGGCGGCGATTTTCAATTTGGCATTATACGTTTTTTCAATATCTTTGATCTGTTGCGGTTTTATCGTCCACCCTGGATCATGGTTAGTCGGCTGTTTAGTGGGATCATCTAGAGGATCGTAGGCGTCAATTTCTAAACCCAAACGTTTGCACAGCTTACTCATTACATCGTCAACGTAAGCATGAATTATGAGATCTGCTTTTTTATCCTAAATTAAAAAAAAAAAAAAAAAAACGCTTTTAAAAACGTCTTTCACTTGCTCTCTCTCTCTCTCTGGTTAACATTACGTGTTTAGTAGGTTGTAGATTGCAGATAATCAATTTTCCGCCATTTTTCTTATTCTTCAGGGGCAGATTGCCGCTAGGAATGATTTGTAAAGTGGTACCTAACGTAATATTTATATCTGCCAGACTGCAAAAAATTACTAATTACTATTTGAGTTTTTTTCAATTTTAAATTTACATACGTGGAATGCATAAGTGCCATATCTAAATCTCTCTCGGGCAAATCATGTTCCCAGTCGAGGACATTATCCAAGAGAATGCCGCCCCGACAGCGACGGCGGCAAGCACCGCCACAAGGCTTTTGTCCGACCGTTCCTGTAGTTGAGGGTCTTACGAACTGATGACGACATTTATTGCATTGCTCGACAAATATATTGCCATGCAATTCGGATATGCAATTCCTCGTAACACCTGATTTCATATGCAAACCATCGATATTTTGACTAACTATATATTGTATATAACCTTTGCTTATTAGACCCCGTAAAGCCATATGCGTTGTAGTGGGTATCGCATCATTAAACGATACATTCACATTTGGTTTCTCCCCTTTTCTTTCTAAAGTCCAGACACCATTCGGACCTCTGTGGAAACGCATAACAATAATAACTTTTTACAATTTCAATTATAAAAATAAAAAACGAAATAGAAGACAATTTCAAATGTTACCTGAAGTCAGGTATACCGGCCGAGGTACTTATACCTGCTCCCGTATGCACGACAACATGCTTAGCGTCTTGTAGCCATTCTGCTAATTTGTTTACCTTTTCATTGATTTCAGATTCGTTGTCGAATTGCTCTGGAACACCTAACACTCCTTTATTGGCATATGGTGATAAGCCATCGGCGTAATTACAGCTCATTTTTCACTCGCACAACTGCACTGCAAATTAATATTATAACTCATTCACTAATATTTTTCAATTATTAGTTTAGTTTATGTTTACGTTATACTCGCTAAAAAAAAAAAAAAAGTGTTGTCAATATTACCATAAAAATCCTTTAATCACAATTTTTTTACAATATGTATTCTCCAAGCAGTTACTATGATCAATAGGTAACTTTTGAATATATGACAAAAGAGAAAAACTTCAATTTAAAAAAGTGAAATAAGTCTTTCATCTTTGTTGTCATTTTGGAAAAGGCTGCGTATAACTATATAATGAGATAAGCGATATACTATTACTGTTTTAGAAGAAGAAGCACGCACAAAAAAAAACAGAGAAAGAGAAGAAAGAAAATACGTGTATATATATATATATATATATATATATATATATGTACACACAAGTGTGCTCAATGAATAGAACGAAGAAGATAAATAAGCATATGAAAACAGCTGACTTTAATTAAACAGCTGTAGCGAATGATTGGCTATTGCCTTTCTTCTCTTTCGGCAAACTACCGGCAAACAAGCTTATACCGTTCATTATATTTATTTGAAACGATTGTACACAATTTTAAATTTATTAAATCAACTTTGCGCGGATTTCCTCAAAAAAAAAAAAGAATATATATATACATATTAAGAACTTGAATGATAATGATTTTAATAACATAGCTAGCGTAGTTGTTCTCAAATGTGATTGTGTATGATAGCATAACGAAGCAATGAAGGCAGTCTCGCGAGGCCTCAATACTTCTTAGACTATTTACTATATATTTAGCGTAAATCCGGAATGTATGAAATAAATTAAATCTAGATAACAGTGATAGGAACTTGTGCGTCTTTGACTACAGTTATTAATCGAGCTTATCTTTAAGTTACTTTGAAAAATGTGCACTTCAGCCGCCATAGACGTTAGCAGTAATCTCTTCCGATATATGATTTTTCTTTATAAATTCAATAAAATTTTCAGATAAATAATTAAGTAATTGCTTAGGTGCCCTTAGAAAATCTGCAAACGTTTCTTTAACTTGAAACGTTTCGAACTTTCAGATACAATTAACGGAAATTAAATTAAGTTGCGAAGGGAAATTGCAAAAATTGCTCCATGTCTATCTACAATAGTTACATTGGTTTTCTTGGACGTAATTAAGATGTTTTTGGAACGTTATGAAGAGCTAGTGCGTAGCACTATTATCTAATAAAGACTTTTCGTGTTTAGTCAACTTTTTTAAATCTCGTGAATTTTCAATAAATTGCAACTGCAACACTTAGGCACAATGATATTGATAAGATTTAATCAACTGTTAAAGCATTTAAAAAACAGCTTTTTGATAATAATAGGTTATAAAATCGAATGAGAAAGCCAAGCTTGAGGCTTGTGAAAATTTATGAAGCATCGAAATAATATGCTCTTCTTTTTGTATATATTGCAAAAGTCGAGGATGAGATTTGCAGCTGAATAGGTTTACCATTTTTGATTTTTTTTATTTAGTTCTTTCTATGAATTATTAGTCAAGATGTCATTTACAATAATAGTAATAATTGTAAATTATAGGGCATTTATGATCCGTCTTCAAGTGAATAACAATTATCTAATTGCTTTTATCTCTAGCTCTTCATATGTGTATGGGCTGAAAGAGAGACAGACAGACAGACAGACATATAGATAGATAGATAGAGAGAGAGAGAGAGAGAGAGAGAGAGAGAGAGAGAGAGCAAGAGCGTATTGTTTTTGTTTTTATTTCTAAAATAATATTCTTTTACTTTAGTCGCTTCTGGGAATTTAATTAATTAACAATGGTGGGGCGATTGTCAACTATTCTTGTTTGAGTGTTTGGCAAGCTTATTTGGACAAAAGAAAAGTAATAAAAATTGTGTTTCGTAAAGAAAAAAAAAAAAAAAAAAAAAGCAAGAAAAAGAAAAAAAAAATTCCTTTGATAACAGTAATAGTTGTTGTTTGTTGTTTAATCTAAACTGTGTTAACAATCACGTGCACACTACTAGACACATACAGGTAAGCTCGATGCAAGAAACAAACCTATTAAATTATAGTTTCTTAAAAGGAATGTTTTGATTAAAAATGAATTTCCGTATCGATCGGACATTTGCCCAGTTTTTGTGTATACGGAATTTTCTTCTTTTCTTTTTTATTCCTTTTTTTTTTTTTTTTTTTTTTTTTTTTTTTTTTTTTTAAATTACAATGTCAGTAAGCAAAATTTAATTTGAACAAACGTTATAGAAAATTTTTGCCTACGTAAGATGAACAACTGTTTACTTAATAATAATTGAATACAATAATAAAAGAGAGAATAAATAGAAATAAAATTCTTCCGATTGTAGGCCGCCTCGTCACTTTAAACGTTCTTTTTTTTTTTTTTATATATATATATATATATATATATATGTGAATTGTTGGTATTGTTGTTGTTTGTATAATTTGGTACTTTGCTTGCGTTATTTTTGGCATTGGATTTGTTCTTTGTTGTCTTTTCTAATGCGTCTTCACACACACACTCTCTTCCGCCCTTACATCCTTTTATTGGTTAATATGTTAATATAAATGCATTCTGTTTTGTACGTGCACATACACATGTCATTACATACACACATGTATTCTCTAATATTCTAATAGTAGCCAACGTTATTGATTAAATTTTCTTTTTTTTTTTGTTTTTTTCTTTCATTCCTTGTAACATGTTTAAAATTCACTAACTATGGTTGTAAAGTTTTTTAATACAATATATCGACAATATATCATAAATATGTGGTCAATTTTCACAATTTGATTAGAAAATCATTTAAAGGCTAAACAAAGAATTTTTATTAATATATTTTATTGATTAATAACGGTCTTCATCGAAAGTAATCAAAAAGTTTGCTTGATCTGTCAAAAATTTATTTGTTGAAGTTTTTAGTGATTTCGTTCTCCAAAATAAGCGAAAACTTATTTATTATAACATAATATTCAACAAGGTATGTGAGAATTTTCTTCTTTTTTTTTTTTTTTTAATTCGTCTTATTTTATAATAAATGTGACGTTTAGGATAGAGAAACTATCGTGAAAACTTATTCTTCCCATCGTTTGCGTAAAAGATCTTTCATATTATAGGTATATAGAGCTTTGAATATTAATTGTATACTGAGTGAGTATGAGAAATTGTGCTCGCAGAGAAATGCATTTTTATGCCTTAATTGGCATAACAAATATTGTATTTTTTTTTTTTTTTTTTTTTTTTTTTTGTTAGAAAAAATATTTTGTTTATTTAAATTCAATTGGTTTTAATTACTGGTTACATATATGTATAGAATATGAAATATGACATCGATTTAAAATTGACACGATAATGTGACATAGATTTCGTGATAAATTCTCAAAAGATTTTCTTCGGCTACAAATTTTTTTTTAATTTCTATTTTTTATATATTATTTTAATTTTTTATTTTTATATACATATATATATATGTATATATATATATATTTTTTTTTTTTTTGTTTTTTTTTTTCAGTTGTTAAAAACTAATAATAATCAAACTGCTGTTGTACTAGGGTGTGCAATGTCGCGTGATTCACCTCCACCGGATAGTGTCTTTCGTTCTATTTTAAAACAAGATCTCTATGGTCCTTTGCAAAATCGTCATAATCTTATAGCCAGTACTAAAAATTCCTTAGATTATGTACAACGTTTGGGTCTGTTGTGTCAGCTACCTATACATTCGGGTTGCGTTAATACAGTGCATTGGAATAATACGGGTGAATATTTAATCTCCGGGTCGGATGATCAATTTATAGCGATTACCAATCCACATAATCAAGAGGTGCTTCTAAAATACAAAACTGCCCATCGTGCGAATATATTTAGTGCTCGCTTTATGCCGCAATCCAATGATCAAGCAATTGTATCGTGTTCGGGAGATGGTATAGTTCTTCATACAGAACTTATGGCGCCATATATACGACGGGTACGATCTATATCGCGGGACTACAATAACGATAGAAATGTGATGGCACCTGTTTACGAGCGTGCAACCGATAATGAAACTAACGTGAGCATTTTTAATTGCCACAAAAGCGGTACAACTTATGAAGTGCTAACAGTACCTACGGAACCCAGATCATTTATGAGCTGCGGCGAAGACGGTACAGTGCGATTATTTGATCTTAGACAAATTTCCAATTGCCATAAGACTTGCTGTAAAGATAATATACTCATTTTTAGTCCATCGGCGGTAAATGCCATGGATTTAGCGCCCATTAGTAATCATTATCTGGCTGTGGGAAGTAGTGATGCAATTGTACGCATCTATGATCGTCGTTATTTATCTGTGATTGATTTTAGTGATAGTTCAGTGCCAACGAATGAGCGGCATACAAGGCCCGTCAAAGCATATCCAATTCCATTGCCTACGAAAAGGCATTATCGAATTACTTGTGTGCGTTATAGCCCGGAAGAAACCGAACTTCTCGTTAGTTACTCTTCCGAATATTTATATTTATACGATTTAAGTCACGAGGGTGTTAATGTTACCGAATTGGCTAAAGGTAAATATGTAGAGCGTAGTAATTCACCGCCAGCACCACTCACTGCAGAACTAGTCACTCGAAGATTGCGTTTAAGAGGTGATTGGTCCGATACCGGACCAGATGCTAGACCAGAACGTGATCCCACTGGTCGAGCGGAGACAGGTCAATTCAGACCGCAATTACAAGCCAATATAATGAGCCGCATGACTGAGGTTATATCGCGTATGCTTAATGATCCACGTACACGCTTTGGCTTGGCTAGTCAAGATCCGGAGGGTAGTCGCAATAGCCAGCAAAACTTGGAAACTCATGAAAGGCAGACAATGGAAAATGAGGGTATATATATAAAAAAAAAAAAAAAAAAAAAAAAAAAGCAAAGTTTTTTATTTTTCATAACATTTTTTAGATTCTCGTCCTTCTACCTCGGCTGCTTGGCGAACTCTTGCTGCTCGAAGTTTAAGTTTATCGACACGCTCTAATACTCAGGACGAAAGTGAACAAACTACATCGCCAACAACTACCACAACAACAAATAATAGAACTGATTCAGAAGCTTCCTCATCACCGCGACCTGCCGCTGATATCGAAATGAGAGACTCTTCCAATAATAACAACGATAATATTGAACGCAATAGCGAAGACAGTAGCGATACACACTCCTCCCATTTTCATGACGATGCCGCTTCAATTAACCAAGAGTTGGCTGATCTCGAAATGGAAACCAAAGAAACCATATTTGATTATTTAGTAATGAAATATACGGGCCATCGTAATGCTCGCACCATGATTAAAGAAGCAACTTTTTGGGGTAATAATTATGTAATGTCCGGTTCGGATTGCGGTCATATATTCACATGGAATCGTCGCACCGGCAAATTAGTGATGTTAATGCAAGCCGATCAGCACGTGGTGAACTGTTTACAACCGCATCCCGAATTGCCGTACTTAGCAAGTTCGGGTATAGATTATGATGTTAAAATTTGGGCGCCCATATTGCAAGATAAAGGTTTCAACGAAGAAGAAGCAGAAGATGTAAGTATTTATGAATAGCGTGTGCATAATGATTCAATTACTTATCTGCTTAAATTTCTTATAGTATCTCCAAAGATTGAAACGATCATTTGTTTACTATTTTTAAAAAGAACGTCTCATAAATGCAAGATCCGTATGTCTCTCTCTCTCTCTAGCTCTCTCTCTCTCTCTCTCTCTCTCTCTCTCTCTCTCTTTCCCTCTCTTCTTTTCCCTATCTACGCTGAATAAGAGAATTATCAATGATTAATTAAATTAATTTTATTATTTGAGTGCAAGTTACAGGTATATATATATGTCTCTTTGATGATATTTATATATATAGATGTATAAATATATATACAATTGTAATAGTAGTTGCTTCCCGCTAATACATCTTAAGTCTAAAGCTAGTTTATTATACTATAAGAAACGGTATATTACGGTACTTTTTTCTTTTTTTTTTAGCGGGTATCGTCCATTCCTTTCTTTTCATTTACATATATGCTTGATAAATAATTACCTTTATTTTCATACTTCCCGTTCATATTGTCGTCCGAATTTGGTTTTCTAAATAAATGACGTTAAAAAGGAGTTGTCCATGAAATCTGGAATGACTTGGCAGAAATTAGACGATTGCATAAACAAAAAGAGTCACTTGGTGACACCGGGGCATCGCTTAAGAAATGATCGTCATGTCGAAACGACTAGAGTGGCTATTTTCACTCCGTCCAACGATGTCCATCGTAAATTAGGAAATGCGTAAACTCAGAGAGAGAGATTAGAGGAGTTTTGATATGGAAATGATCTTAGAGCTTCACTTAGAGCTTCCGTAACAATCTTACACATGTCTCTTATCTCATTTGAGGAGAGTTCATCGAGACTAGCGCGTCTATTGTAAAGAAAGATATGTTGAAGAGATGTGAGATTTGCGGCCGCGCGATTCGGATCAGTTATTGGATCAGTTAATGGAATTTTCAGAGAAATTTTAACGTGATAGTAAGAAAGTACATTAAAATACCTCTCTATCGTCATCTATCGAATTGGATTAGAAATCGATCGAAGGATTATAATTTCTTCTCTCATGAGCCTTGTTTTTTTTGGGCCTTGGTTTCGTTAATCGTGAGAGAATCGCAATATTACTGCAATCTGAGGTTAAATTTAAGTGCGGCTCGCAAATTATGTTTAGAAGGAAATTTTAAGGTTTTCAATTTACTAGTCAACTGACTCTTGAGCGACTAATTATCGTATAATCATTGTTTGTTGAAAGCGATTGCCTTGTCCGGAGAAAAAAGTGGGACACAAAAGCTTCAGACTCCATTGCCTCGTCGAATATATACCCATCCTATAATCGACTGAGATTGAAAATCTTCAGTCGGCTTTCTTGATTGTAGCTTATGATAATAATAGATATTATTATAGCCATCACTAAAAGCATATTATATGTTATCATCTTGTTTGTATAATAGAAAGAAGTACAAATTTGATTCTTCCAATTAAATTTAAAGTCCATATAGCTTGATCACTTTATCGCAAAATGAAATTTTGAAAAAAAGTTACAATTCGTCTAAATCGTCGTGTAGACGTAAAAAAAAAATTGATTTCAAAAAGGAAGTCAAAGTTTCGACAATTCATTCAATCAATCATAACGCTGTCGAGAAACCAGTACGTTGACGATTAATGTTATTTAAATCGGTGAATGTTAAAGATTGCAGGCGATTATCGCTTTTTTCCCTTTTATTTTATTTTTTTTTCTTCTTCTCTGTACATTGGCATTTTCATTTCTTCTAATTTCTTCGTATATTTCAGTTAATGAAACGTAATGCCATCATGCTGGAACAAACGAAAGATACTATAACTGTGCCAGCTGCGTTTATGATACGGATGTTGGCCTGCATACACTCGTTACGTAATCGCGACAGATCAACAAACTCAGAATCTTCGGCAGCTAATAATACGTCGTCTGTGGAAACAAATAGTAGCACGATGTCACATAATAATCATAATACTAGCGATGTCAGCAATAACGATGATAATGATCAGGGTAGTGATGATCGTGATCGTGATGCACATATGAGTTAAATTTTGGCAATTTTTTTTTTTGTTTTTCAATTTTCTTTTTGACTTATTAAATATGATTTTTTTGAAATTAAAGTTTATAACAATTGTATTATAATATGCTTCTGCGCTCAGTGTTCCTAAGAAACAAAAAAGAAAACCAAACGAAAAAAAAAAAAGAAAAGAAACTTCATTTCTACAAACAAATACAAGGTCATGACATATTTTTGTTGAGAGAAAATGCTTTTATTTGTATTTATTGTTTAAAATTTTAAATGTTGAGACACGCTCCTAAGGTTAGTCAAAAAATTAATTTAATTTTAATTATAAATAAAATTCTTTTTTAAAACTCATTTTTAAATACTTTTTTTTTTTTTTTTTTATAATACGTTTGATATGGATTCATAATTATTCCCATATTCCATTAAAATTGCAAACAATAAATAATATAGGGAGGGGGGGAAATGCTGAAATAAATCCATAAGGCAATAAGGCCTTACCAAGAGGAATACATTTTTGAATATTTTACTTGATTTCTAATCAATTCTCTATATAAGCATGTTAAACATTAACCGCATTTTGTAAAGCCAACTTATCATCAACTATAATATTAGCTGCTGCTGTATTGGGATTTGAGCTTAATAGCTGTTTGGTAGAAGAACTCGAGGAGTAACTATCACTTGAGCTGCGTGTCGATGCTGAAGTGGCACTAACCGGACTATCCAGCATATCTGATAAGAGATCAAAAATATAATAATATAAAAATAATGCAATTAGTTTATGTTATCGTTTTGAATAATTACCGGGTAAAGAGCTCACGTTATTGCCTTTTAAATCAACTGCTCCAGTAGAACTAGCTGAGTTAGCTACACTTCCACCGCCACCGCCGCTGCCTACAATGTTACCCACCGAAGTCGATTTTTTATGGAGATTCTTTTTTACTAAACTCGTTTTCAATTTCTCGCCGGTTGTTAAACCGTTTCCCAAATTTCTTTGACGATCGGGACATAAAGGACTCAATATGGAATTTTGTTGATCTTCTGGTGTATAATAATCAGAATCTTCATTATTAGTATTGGTTGCACCCGAAACAGGCATATCAACTGTATTTGATCTCTCATTGTCAATAGTTGGATCATCACGTTGACTTTTCACATCACTGGCCTTTTTATGTTTTTTAAACGAAGTTGCTTTTTTATGCTTAAAATCAACTCTCGGCTCTACTAAGACGCCATCCCCGTCATCTTCGTCTTCATTTTCTTCATTATTATCACTACATGTTAAAGTTTTAGCTAATTGTGAAGGTATAGGTTTGCATTTACTGCCCGGCGATAATAATGGAGATAACTTTTCATTTTCGCTATCGTCTTCTCCCTCGTCATGAGTCGACGTAGCAGTTGTAGCCATTTCAGTACTAGCAACTGAGTTTTTGGAATGCCTTTTATGCGATTTTGACACTTTTAAGCTATGACGTTCATTGACTACTTGTAGTTTGTCTTGTGAACAACGTTTTCCATTAGCTTTCGATTCTATGTGGGCTTCGCTTTCAACGATGTCCATTGTCGAAATAATAGGCGCATTAGCGTTTGTCGTCATGGTGCCAACTTCACTAGCGCTAGTTGAGGTTGACGCATTTTTTTTTGCTCTTCTGACGTCGCTGACTATTTGGTTTTAATGGTGATGTGGATTTGTGCTGCTCATTGGAAGCGCCGGTAACACCATCTAACACATCAGCATCCCCTCCTCCATTTGAACGACGGCTGCCCACATACTGGACTGGTCCATTTAGTGCCTCAATCAGTGATACTGGCACGTAACCAGGTGGTACATGCTGATCGCAAACAACAGGTTCGTTCGCCGATGTGGGCGTATTTTGATGTAATATATGACTGCCAACACCCTTTTGAACCGCTCGTATTTGCAGTAAAGCCCGGAATGGTGCACGACAAATGGGACAACAATTAGCCTGATACCGCAATGAATCCGCACAAGAATTGCATAAGCATAAATGACGGCAAGGCAATATTAAAGTGTCGCGCGATTCACTCATGCAAATAACACACTCACTGCCGTGATCGTCAAGATCTTCGTCTAGAGAACTTTTGTTGATGGCCTAATAATAAAATAAGAAAACGGTTATAATAGTAAATTAAAGTGAACTTTGGGTAAAAAAAAAGTTAATTAACACTTTGAAAAGAAACTATTCATTACAGGAGTTCCATATGTTAGCTTTCATATGGGCTTTTATTTATGATAACCAAGAGTAAACATTGGACTGGACCCGACTGAGCTCAACTAGCTTTTTGTCAATAGTTTTTCTTTATTTGATTTGAAGCATTTTGGGCAAACTACAAAACCTTAATAATTTTCTTCCTTAGTAGAAAACATTTCTCATATTAAAAATTCTCTCAGAGCTGCACGATTTTGCCAGCCTCACTGAGTTGAAGTTAAGTGAAGCAAATTGATACAATTAGGTCAAGGAAATGCATTTTATGTAAAATATATGCATAGAATAAAAGACATCTGAAGAAATTATATAATAATGATACTGTTAATTGTGAGCGTTAATATATATGCTTTTAACTTTTGCATCGAACTTTTGATCTTAGTAAACACTAGCTGGTTTATAGTAATAAAAGGGTTTTGTGAGTGTAATAACATATTCACGGAGCTTCAGTGTTCTATTTCAATCTTTGCGGACAAACGGACATGACCGCACTACGAGCGATTACACTTCATATCGTTAAGCGCGCGAAAATAAACTGATACGTAAGCCAATGCTTGGTAACAAACATGGTTTATCAAATTAGACTATGGTCTTAAAGTTATACTCACTTTATTTTCAATACCATATATCTCTTGAAGTAAATAACACAAACCATCCACGAAAATTTTTTGCTTTAAAGCTCTCAGTACATAACTATTACTTTCCGGGTGATGATCGATCACACATATAGTTGTATGAGATTGACGGCAATCCTCATTCCCCTCCTCTACTACACAATGTATAGCTACTGGATATTGTTCCTTATTCACACTATAGATAAAATCATCTTCAGGTATTAGTTGAGGATTAAAAACATGTCCAGCTTGTGTGAAATATTGATTTATGCCCTTCTCATAGTGATATGTTTCTGACGTTAAACCATCGCGTGGTGTTAGCGTAACACCGCTAGGGCTTACCTCTTCACTGCAAAAGTAGTATATGGTTATGGCACATTTGGCATCCGTGTCAAATGTGAATTCAATATTGTATAAGCAAGTTGGCGATTGCTCATCACTCATACAATTTCCATCCGTATTATCTTCAGCATTTTTTTCTTGTATAGCCCGGACAAAGCGTACAGATTCTTTACGTATATTAACTAAACTTTTTAGCGTTTTTGTAGGTTCATTGGCTTGTGGCGGCGGATAGGGGAAAGCGGTAGGTCGATTGCCAAGAAAATTTAAATCGGCATTTTCCCCAAACAAATAAGATTCCGGCTGAGGCGTATCAAAGCGCTCGCCACCCATTATAAAGTGACTACCAAAAAAATTACCCGTACGTGGAGGATATTTATACGCATTATTATTAGCACTTTGTTCGGCCTCTTCGATTGCACCGTTTTGACGACTGGTAAACGCACCCATATTATCAACAATTCCCAGGTTATACTTATGAACAAATCTGCCTATGCTACTATTATACTTTTACGATTACATAAATTAAGAATATTTTTGGGTTAATCGAAACTTTTCTATAAATATTTAAATATTTGCGAAATATTTGTCCCAAAAGAAAATTTTCTCTAAACATCGATTTATAATTAAAGATGCCAACTTATAATTTAATTTTGAGAAATAGAGAGAGAGTTGCCATAAGTTCATATACCACTGTTAGGAGTAAACAAAACATTATAAGGAAAAAATACAAAGCAAAATCCCTCTCTCGGTATGCTTGATTCTGGACGATAACACATATGAAAAATTTAGCTTGCGTTGTTTAACAAAAGTGACTGAATACCAACACAAAAGCTACAATTCGGCTACGTGTTTATCCCCCTGTGGTTTTACGCCTTCTTCTTTTTTCTGAATTTTTTTAGAAGAACAAAGCTTAATCTATTAATAATAAATTTATTCACTTTCCACAACATCAACACGAAGAAATCTCATTCGCGTTTTTTTTCTTTGATTTTTTGTGAATGTACGTAATAATATGGGTGATAATCATGTAAGCAGGCGATTATCGCCGTGATGATCGCCTCGTTTGTTTTAGGAGGCAATTGATTATCGCGAAAAAGCTAATCATGTACCATCGTCGTCTGCTTTAAAAAATACTTCCCTTCAAGTTTTCCATTACAATACATTAATAAATGAATGAAACGTAAAAAATGAGAGCCAAATTCACGTTTATTTGTTTAAACAAACTATATGCGGCAAACATTTACAAGCGTGCAAAATGAAATGAATAGAAACTTATGTAGAATTTGTGTTATTTAAAAAAGAAAATGTACTTACTTTTGGCAAATTTCTTTGACTTTTTCTTCACAATTTATAAATGCTGAATTAATAGTTGATTTTGTATTAGCTGTATATACACACACACCTTTAAAAGAAAGATTTATGGTAATTTTACTTGATTATACCCAATACTAATTCGTTGTTGTAATTGTTGAGTTTTACCATCCATAAGGATTGGATTTTTTGTTTACATTCCGTGAGGGTGGCCGCGATTGATTGAATTTTTTGGTTACATCTAATAGACTAATAGAGGTTTGCGTGACTTGGGACTTCAAACCACATGCTCCTATTCTATAAATAGAAGAAAAATACGAAATATAATAGAAGGAAACTCAGGAAGAATACGTAAAGCAACATTCACCTATTTTTCTGTGCGCCTGTGTATGTGGGATTATACCGCCAGTGGCACTTGTAGAGTCAGCTGACAATCATAAATTTCTATTAGACATATACGTAGTTCTGAATAATTTCATGTATGCATAAAATCAAATTTTTGTCCACCATTTCCGGCATCGCTATTTGTTATTGTATAAAATTCGGAACGCAAGGATTGTGCACAATTTCATATCCTTATGCGAAATAATAATATAAGATATGTAAACAAAAGGTACATTTATTAATAAATAATATTGTAAAATAAAAGAAATTAAGAAATTTTATATGAAAACATACATTTATTAATAGAAAACTTACATTAAAAATAAACATTAGTTACTAAATATCCCAAAGTTTTCCTCGGCTTTTGGTAAGTTGGTCCGTTAGATAATGTTATTTTACAGAGTTGAACCCTTCTGGTCTGTTAACTTGCGCGTTTAACATAGCTGATTGGCGTTAAGATTTAAGTTGTTAAGTTGGGCTTTTAACCATTACAGTTTTTGACCAAACTAAGCGCAATTATACAACGGCAATGCCAGCAATGATTATAATAAAAGAAATGTCTTCGTAAGACAGTGATGCCAAGTGAAAGTAAAAGTATTGGGACATTTGGTTTGTGTCTTGCACAATTTGTTAAGAAATGCATTGATGTAATGGAGATGAAAATCGTCTAAGCCAAAAACCACCATAGCAGCCTAAAAAGCCATTTTTTTGCAAATTTTTTTAAGATGGAAGGAGAGAGAATTGAATAATGATATTCAAGGAACTTAATAAGTAGGAAAAAAATCGAGCTTAGAACGTTTCGAAAAGTGATTTTGAATCGATCGGCATAGTAAAAAGTTATCCTATTTGAATCCATTCTGGGTGTTATGTACATTCGTACAAACTTAATATACCCCTTTAACACAAGTAGTGTAGGGTATAAATATCTGCTTGTGTATCATAGAAGACAACAGTCAAGAAGTAAAACATTACGTTGTAGCTTATCATTTGACGCAGGTAGCCTTTCTTTTGTTGTCTCTAGAATTTTCAAAGCATTCACTAAGCAAATAAAAAAAAAATTGATTTTTTTGGAAAATATAAAAATGATGTTTGTCCTTAACATGTGCGATTTGGCTTCAATCTCAAGCTACCCATTGAAAGATATTACATTAAAAGAAATCAATTCTCCGATATATCGGTACGAAGGGATGTATGCAGAAAAGCAAATTAAAGTTATTTATAACAGATTTAATTCCTAAGCATCATTAAACTGGAACCAGTCTATCATATCCAGTATTGAGTACATAGAGTTACACGAATTATGATGAACGCGTTCAAGTGGTGGCATTAGCAAATTTTGTGTTTTTGCTTCTATTCTTATTATTATTATTATTTTTATATTCATCACCGAGAGACAAGGGGTATATTCATTTTGTCGAAACGTTTGCAACGTGTGAAAGTAAGCTTCAGAGACCCCGCAAATATATATATATATTCTTAATCCGAATGAAATTCTAAGTATGACCTGCAAGCCTATTGGTCCGTCCGCCTGTATGTCAATCGATCCGCCTATTTGCGTAACGTCTGTGGTAAACGTTCTCCTGGTCGTAAAAATTAAGCTATCGCCTTCAAATTCGGCACAAACTTGGGAAGCTTTTGCACGCAGACTGGTATTAAAGTTGAGCCAAATCAGTTAAAGTTTACACAACGTTATGTGATTCAACCTGCGTTTTCAAAAATAAACTCAATCTCGCGTTTTGGTCGTTACTTTTGAACCGCAACAGGTACAACGATAAAAACTTGGGTGGTCCTGTAGCACTTGTATTAGAATGAAAGAAACCACGGTCACGCCTATATATAAAGTTATAAATTCTTTTTCTCACTTCTTTGATATTTTATGCTTATTACTCATCGATCCGAACAATCGGTAATGGGTACTGTGTGTGCGGCAGAACTTCGCATTCGAGCTGCAGCAGTATATGATTGACAACTCTTGCAGCGTCTGGTCGAGCATTGTCAGGCAAGACAATGTCGGAAATATTTATTATTATTATTATTATTGTTATTATTATTATTAATTTCGCTAGAGAAATAAATTCTAAGACTAAACACTTAAAAGCACTAGCATCTAAGGCTATCCGGCTTTTATTAAAAACTCTACCGCACTTGAGATTCGAACCCACGACCATTGCCTTGCTAGTCGAGATTCCTCGCCTTCGGCTACTCAGGCTAAGGATAAGGAAATATTTAATTTCATTGGTCTATTCAGGCGGTTGTATATATGGGAGATTTTGGCGGTGATAAATCCTTTCAGCTTCCGTTAAGATATCTTAAAAAAGTAAACTAACATTAGGTCTCTAAAGCTTGTTATAACTTGATTTCCACATATCTGTCACTATTTGTATTGTGCGTATATGCATTACGCTTAATAGCGATAACATATTTTTTGGTTGTGCAAAGCTTTGTTTGGTTTGCATGCGTGCATGCTCTTGCACGTGTATTGGCTAGTTTTCGTAATTTAGCAAAGACCTGAACCGACTATGTGAAATGTCAGCTATCTTGGCGAGCTGAGTAGGCAAGAGTCTCGACTAATAACTTAAAATTTTCAAAACGTGAGCTTCTAACACTTTTCATGGCCGAAAGTAAATCATTCGATATTAAAAATGATAAAAACCAAAACATTTACATGAAACTCGGCTTGAGATAATTTCATTGTCTTTTCGACACGAAAATTATGGAACTAATTGGAGGAGAGTATTGATTCAAGCAACGTCTGGACAACAATTGAAACAATTTCTGGCGACATAATTTCGATAGACAAGTAATTTCATGAAATATTGAAGCGAAATTAGTGATCAACATATTGTGAGCGAATTGAGCCCATTAAACTTATATCTTTGAAACTCTTTAAAGACAATGTGCCGGTAAAGGTTTCATTTACCAACCAGGATCTAAAATCGGCACAATATCAAAATAATATTGAGACAATGAATTCGTCAACTTTTTCATGTAAAGCTATGGATAGTAATTATTTATTAGCACACGCCTGTAAGCAAAATGATGATGATGATGATGATGATCAGTTTAAGATGAAAACGTTTGCAACGCCCGAAGGGAAGTTTCAAAGACCGCGCAAAGTGTATATATTCTTGATCAGCATCAAATTCTGAATCCGATTAAATATGTTCCTTTGTTTGTCTGTCTGTCTGTCTGTCTGTCTGTCTGTCTGTCTGTCTGTCCATCTGTGTAATGTCTGTTGTATACATTCCTCCCGCTCGGAAAAATTAAACTATCGACTTGAAATTTTGGTAGAAACATTGGAAGTTATTGCACGCAGGCTGAAGGTATTGAAAATGAAATAAATCGATCGAAAGATGTGCCTACAGTTCAACGATAAACTGAGAACAGCTCTCCTTTGCAAAGGGCAAAAAGAAAAAATTGGATTTTTGCTCATTACTCATAAACAATAGAAGATAAATATACAAAAATTCAAACATATATTGTATGAACGATGCTACAGTATCCGCACGAAAGATGAGAACGATTGATCACACCTACCCGATATTATAGTGTAACAAAATTAAATTTTTTTTTTTTTTTTTTTCAATCTCTTTATGATGCGCAGAAACCACCTTCATATTATATAAATTCTTGGTCAGTTTCAAATCTGGAATGCGTCTAAACATGTCCGTCTGCCTGTCTGCGCATCTGTGTAGTGTTTGTGGTAAACATACTTTCGTTAACGAAAAATGAAGATATCGCCAACAAATTTGCAAAATAATTTTCAAGCAAGTTAAACTTTCAGCCTCGCCCACTTTATATTATAATGCATGAAAATTTACTTCTTGTACTTTTTTGCCTTTTTTTGGGATAACGAGGATGGTTACGATCGAATATAATTTTCTTACTTGTTATGATTAACATTTTATTGCAATCAGTGATTTGTTACTTGGCTGAGTAGATTCTCAACAATCATAAAAGACCGGATGTCCATGTAGACCAGTCATGGACTACATATTTATAAGTACAGTAAAAGCTCATTATTCGCGCTTCCTTCATTCGCGTTTTCACTATCCGCGGATTAAAAAAAAAAATTCCTATAAATTTCTCAATAATAAATTTCTTTATTCGCGGATCTAAAAAGTATATACATAATAATAAAAGGATTCCAATAGGTATTCAATTATCATTCCGTATTCACGATCTCTGCATTCGCGACAAATATACCCCGCGAATAAGGAACTTTTACTGTTTAGCAAAAAGTGTAGCGAAAACAATAAGTAATGATGGAATAAAATATTTTATGCGGGGAGGGAAAAAAAAAAAAAAAAAAAAAAAAAACTCCTAAATATTTCATTTTATTTCCAATAGGAATAACTCAACTTTATTATCCATCCAAGTTATTTCATATTTGTTCTTAAAGGAAGTTTTGTTTTTCCAAAAAGAGAAAAAAAAAATAAAAAAAATAAATCAAGAGAAGTTTTGTGGATGGTATATGCTCTTCATGTCCGCGACATCGCGACATATAATTATTGCAAGATTTTCTTGCTTGCAATTATCTTGAAAGTGGATATTTTCATGGGACATTAAATGGGACGAGTAAACAAACGAATTGCCTTAGTTCATAAGGTCCATCTTTTTTAATTGGAGAGCCGTGGTTTGTTGTTGTAATTTTCACTTACATTCGTACTTCGCGTTTTCTTTTTACGCAATTTCTAATTTTTTTCTCTTTTTTTTCTTAATATATTTTCGAGTTTTGTTTACTTGACGATGGTGCACGTGTTTGTTCGTTTGTTTGCGTACGTGTGTTTGAGATTGCAGTTGGATTTTGCGTTAGATTGAAGCCATTAAGCTTGAAATTTGCTTAATTTAATTTTGCAAGAAAGCTATTTTCAAAAATATTTGCGAGAAAAAATTTCAATTTGAAAAAGATTGACTAGAGAGACTTTTTGAAAAGTAAATTATTACATGCATGCATGCATATATACATACATACATACATGCATACATAAATACATATATATATATATATATATATATATATATATATATATATATATATATGAATATATTTTTATAAAAGCATTTTTACATATAATATTTTCATGCCGTTGCAGTGACGAAATTGGTCGACATTTCTTCCTCGAATTGTGTTAAAGCGAATAGCGAATGATTCGATAGACTCGGTGTAGCAATAGTAGATCAAGTGCCCTAACAATTTCACATTAAATAAGAATGTAAAAGAATTTTGTATTCTGTATGAGATCACTGATGACTATATAGGGAATGAAATGGACCTAATATGTGTATCGTGTTCACGCGATGAAAATTTGATAAGGCGTACAAAGATAGTTGGTAACTCTATTTAATTTCGCACTTTGTTTGCAAGAACTTAACCCAACTTAACCCAACAACTAGTTTAACTTAGAACAGAACAAAAAGAACACCCACTATAAAAAGTCAAAGTTTTCTATGCTAAATTGACTTGCGTTTAATTTGTATGTAGTCAATATATATATATATATATATATATGTATATATGACAAAAATAATAGAGAACTATGCAAAATAAAATGATGGCAAACACACACACACACACACACACACACACACATGGCTGGCCGTTTTTATATCATACATGCACATACATGCATAAGTAATGACCAAAAGTGACCACGACACAATTCCCTGTTAACTAACTAACACAAAACATAACATACAAGTTGATTTCGTGTGGTGTATGCGAGAATAATAATATTAGATTTATAGAGAGATAGAGAGAGAGAGAGAGATAAAAAGATGAGAAAATGAGAAAATTTGAGAGTAAATGCATTAGGAAACGCACCTTTATTAAATCCTAAAAAAAAAACAAAAGTGAGAGAAACAAAGTCACTTTGAATATGAAAAATGTGTCGAGCGAGAGAATGAGAGCGAAACAGAGAGCGAGAGAGAGAAAAGTGTGTGAGAAAGGGTGAAATTGTAAAGCTTAAGATATTTTATTTTTGATTTGCATTTTGTTATTTTAAGTACAGTATTAGCGGTGGTAAGCGAAAATTTATCATTTTTCTTGCTGTAATTGTTTTCTTTTTTTTTTTGAAATTTTTTTTAACTATTCTGATTCCATTTACCGTTGAATTTTTTTCTAAGAGCGTACTGCAAATGTTGTATGCTGTCATTGAAATAAAATGGAAAAAAAAAAAAAAAAAAACGGAAAAAAAGTACGAGAAGTAAGAAAAAAAGCTGAAAGTAGAAATGACGTCATTTTAATGTAATGTTTTGCTTTTAGTAAGAAAAAAGCTTTTGCTAGTTATCTAGCTTTGATGGGTTGATGAGAAAAATGCATATGTTGGCAGCCAAGTACTTGCTGGTGCATATGAATCGTACAATCGAATCAAGCGTAAAGCTTTTCGTATTCTAAAGGGAAGATTTTGTTGGCGAAATTTTCTTTTAAACGCTTTAAAGCAAGCAGCATTTGCAATATCCTCAGCTATCGGCACAAATGTTGGTCTCACAATTTTTTTCCTTTACCCTATATATATAATATGTTTCTCATTCGCCACCGAGCAAATACTTATACATCTATATAAATATATATATTGTGAAGACGCATAATAATTCGGGCAGGCAGGCGGGCGGGCAATAGCAGGCAAGCAGAGTAGCCTTCTAAAATTTATTTTCGCATGCATGCAATTGCAGCAGAATATGGCGGCAACTGCATTAACAGCTTTTTCACGATAGTTTAGCTAGGTGTCGTTTTTAATATGTGCATATCTCTATACATATATATAATATATATATAATATATATATATATATATATATTGAATATATATATATATATATATATATATATATTTACATGTATAATCATTTGTATATATGTGTGTGTGTGTGTTTGATGTGAGCATACAGTAGTAGTAGTAGTGTATTTTTTGCGCGCTTTTCTGTGCTCAGTTGCATCAGTTGGCACTCAACAGTCGTTGAGTCAAGTTGCTTTTGTTTTTTGCTTTCATCATATTCTAATATGCACACAGGCAGCATATTATAATAACGCGCGCGCTCTTCTATTCCCATATGCTTATACAATAGCAGCAATAATAATAGTATTGAAACGAAAAAGAAAACAACAGCAACAACAACAATAACAACAATAACAACGATAAGGAGAAATAGAGAAATAGCATCAAGTCATTCTGTTTCCCTCATGTAACACAGAAGCAGTTGAAGAAAATTTTCTTCTGTTAGCAGTGACTGTGTCAGCTCTAATCTACAGGGTTACCCCACACAATAACTGAAAAACACTTGCATTTTCAATTAGACAAAAACAACAAACAACATAACGACGACCGACTTGTTATCAACTATTGCGGCTGGTGTTGGTACGGCAAGTGTTGCAGCACCTAATACCGCCATCATCATTAATCATCATAACAACAACAATAATCAACACATTGACGTTGAAGCTGCTGACGCTGCCACACCAATAACACCATCTTGCTTTAGCCAAATTGTCAACAGCAGCATGAGCAGCCGCAAAGATGATCCCGTATTTAATGTTAAATTTGTGCAGTTGGTGGAATCAAAGCCGTGCCTTTGGAATTCCACACTGCCCGAGTATAGTAAAAAGGATGAAATACAAAAAGCCTGGCAAGAGGTGGCGAACGAAACAAAAGATACGGGTAAGTAATATTTGGAATTTTTTTCATTTTTTTTTTTTATTTTTTTTATTTATTTATTTTTTCTAAAGCAAAAATGATGATCCACTTTTTTATATATACAAAACAAAACTCAGCTGATTATTTACTAACTTGGTTGGCTAATAAGCACACACGTAAATATATATATATATATATATATATATATATATATATACATATATATATACGTATGTATTTGTGGCAGTAAGTGCCGTACATTAATTTCCAAGTGTCTATGATTTGTGTGTAACGTGTACGTGTGTTCCTTTATAGTTCTTTCTTGCTTCGCGAAGCTTTCCCGCCCCGCTCTGCCACCATCAACTTTAATCATGGCAAAAATGTTCGCGTATTCATTTAAATGCATTTGGTTATGACACACACAGAGGTGCATTCGCTTAGCATTTTCTAAGCTATTTAATGTGCGTTACTGCGAATGCGGTTATTACTGCTGTTACACGACATTGATAGAAAATGATTTTTATTTTATAATATGCGCACGAAAATAAACAAACATACTTACACATATATGGCGTTTATTTAAAGCTCATTTCTGCTTTTGATAACTAACTTCTTAACGATTTCATCCAATATCTAAGACAATAAGAAAAACAGCTTATTGCATTTGCCTATGACTTGTAGTATTTTGACTTGCTACCATAGGCTTGCTACGACAAATCTATGCATATGTAATAATATATTTGTATATATGTAAATTGGGTATATATATATATATTCACACTCATGTATGCCGTTGTGGTGGAAAAATTACTCACGCACTTTGGCTTTACAGTTAACTAAAGCACTTGCATTATGTTTGCCCTTCTTCTTTCTCTCTCCAGTCAATTATGGCTTTTGTGCTATATGCTCTATGCACGTATTTCGGATATTTTTTTTTCTTTTCCTTTTTTGCTTTTTCAAAAAAATTTGTGCCAAAGTTTACTGATTTTCATTTGCAGCTTTTTGCTGCTTTGATTGTTAGTATTGTTGCTTGGTGTTGCTGTGTGTGTGTGTGTGTGTGTAATTGACTTTTCGCTTATGGCACTGACTGCATTTACGTTATTAGACTTTGGAACATTCGCATTGTCCATGCAACGTATACTAGCAGTAATGATATGTGCAAGCAAATGTACTAAGCACACACATACATATATATATATATATATATATATATATATACAAGTGAACGCATTGGTTCACAAATTGTTTATTTGTAAAAGATATCATTACTGTCCTCGTTTCATATTTCACTTTGACTCTACTCTACCCATCCCGCGGAGAATGTATTAGTTTTGTATAGAAATCTCTGTAAACTAAGTGTATGTATATATATATTTGGTAAAAATAAATATCGATATCATTTATTTTATTTACGATCATAACGATTCACAACTCCCTATCACGTGCATATCCCTTAAGCGGCTTCATTCGCACCGAGAAAAAATTCAATATTTCCTCTTTTATACGGAAATATAATTCTAACTTTGTCATTATTATTAAATAATTTGTTCTCTACGCTTTATGGTAATTAAAATTTTAATATGCTCTTTCTTGTCCGAATATATGATATACAATTAAAATAAATAGTAAATAATAAAATGGAAAAAATAAATCTTTCTATTTTCGTCAATATGGCTTATATTAGAATGTATAAGTTTTCTTGTCCGAATATATAACATACAATTGAAATAAATAATAAAATGGAAAAAATAAATCTTTCTATTTTCGTGAATATGGCTTATATATGGATGTGTAAGTTTTCTTGTCCGAATATATGATGCATAAATTTACAATTTCAATTAAATATATTTACCAACGAAGTCAAACACTTCTAATACAATAAAGATATATATGTTTTAGCTAAATCTCCCGGAATAGCGAACGAAGCACTAATTGTTGTTATGAAAATTGCAACACTGCGAATATTTAAAGGGATTTTTTTCTAAACGTATCAATAAAATATTAATATAGACCATAAAAAGTATTGAGCTTTTAAGAAATCAAAAAATTTATTTATATTCATTTCATTCATCCAATTCCCGCGCACATGCGCTGAAATGTGAGATGAACGCCATTTTACAATACGAAGGTTTAATATATTTTGCCCTAACTACTATAGCAGAGGTAAGAAATTCATTCAAATTAAAAATTCGTCTTCTTACTGTTTAAAAACTCATTGTGTGTGACGTGAAGGAAGTTTCTCTAGGCAATTATAGAGTGGGGCGTGTGGAGTGGGGGAAAGGCGGCGACTCGAAGAGATTCGAATTGTCAATTTGTAAAGATGGAAAGTTAGTACCTAAAATACAACCATTCATTCATTATTCATGTTATAGTGTGCGAATTATTTGATCTGAAAAGCTGAAGAAGAAAAACATAAGAAAAGCTGAACTTGAAAATATTATTGTCAATCATTTAAATCTTCCACTGTAAATTGTTTACGCGGAAGTGAGTTGGACCGACTTAGTTGGGCCCCCCGCCCCCCCCCACAAAAATTTGAAATTCTTAGCTGTTGAAGTGTCTTCATGTAAGGGCACATCATCTTTGTGATGGTTTCTCTTAAAATGACATCGTGACATTTATTGTGCGTTTCTCTAACGTTGTTGTGACGTTTACTTTAATTCAGAATCGAAAAGGTGACGCCGTGTCATTCAATCTTGGAATCGTATATTTTTCGATAACGCTTTCAACTTGTTTAGCTCATTTTCTTGTTGAAATCTTTGTTCATCATATTCCAGCTTATTTTGGGTACCAGCCTTAGTTGACGTTCTCGTGAGTCGTGTAAAAAAAAAAAAAAATGCCAATCGATTAATGTGCAAAAAATCAAGCGGGCCCCATATATGCGTGCACTCCAGAGTTAATGTTGACTGGAACATTTTGATGATAATATCTTGTTCGCGGTAACTGGAAATCTTTGCGGCTGGTTTGCAACGTATTTTGCATAGAAAGCCTAACACTCCGGCCGTAAGACAATGGGCAGAAAAAAACAAAAAACAAAAAGATAAAAGACAGTCACCGAGAATGTAACCAAATGATCGGCTGATCGACAATTGAGTTGCGCCTCACGCGCTTATATGTTCCCTATCTTACATCTATCCCTTGTCGAGTTGTAACAGCCTCGCTGCGCATGGCGTTTCTTTATTTATTCCCATAAGTTGGTATTCGACAAAAGCAGTTATTTTTCATTCGCTGACCCTATTAACTGTTGAATTGCCACAATGGGATTATTATTTATTAATCGACACATGGAGCGAATTGTTTTTAGCTTCTTACTTAAACATGAGAATGAATGAATAAAATATCCTTCATATGTGCTTCAGATAATATATGTGTATATGTTATCGAAATACGCTTCAAGATGAATATTCGTAATAATCGTAATTACATTTTGTTACGAAAAGTATAGAAAAACGACCGTTGATATCATACTTTCATTAAATTGCTTTCATTTCAATTGCAATGCATACGTAGTGTTATCTATGAATAGAAATCTCCTTTAAATGCATTCTCGAAGGAAAATATAATTCAAATATTCGACTATTATCCTAATTGGATTTTTTTGCGCTTATGCCTCCAATGAATAATGGCTGATTTTCTTCTTTTTTTTTTTGTTGTTGTTGATTTTGTTGTTTTCAAACACCAAACAAATACAACAAAATTCGATTAGCTTCGTCATGGTCACTAAATGCAAAATGCATACGACGTAATTTGTGTTGTGTTTATTGTCTCAAAAAGAAAAGAAAAAAAGAAAAAAAAAAAAAACATATAAGAACAAAAGCTTCTGCATGCATATGATTCAGTTTACTCCTTATATATATAAAGATGAATTCATACAAGCATGCATGATAGACACAGAGTCACATATGTTGTATGCCTACATGTGTATGTATAACGTTATAATGTATGTATGTATGTATGTATGTATATATATATATATATATATATATATATATATAAATATATATAATTATTCGTTAGTACTTGCTTACATTTATATATATTAAAATCATGCAATTGATGAAATGTCACACTAACCATGTGTCATTCAGTCAAATTGTTTATGCATGCAAGCATATGCTTGTATTTGTATATGTTTGTGGGTGTGCGTGTAAATGCATGCAAAGCTGGCTTGTGCACCAGGTATAAATAGCTTTTGCGAGTTGATACTCACAAAACGAAAACGTCACACTCTCCTCCAGTCTTTATAACTCATTTAGCAAAAGTGCTGTATCGTCTTTTGCATACAATTGATGTTTGTTTTAAATAACGCAAAAAGCTCTTCTTCTGAAAGATAACCAGCCAACCAACCAACCAACCAACCAACCAACCAACCAACCAACCAACCAACCTATAGGTATATACCGGTGGAATATATATGCAAATGCAAAGTCCGCTGCATATTGCGATATTTAGTGTTGCCTCACTGTAAGCAAATTTTTTAGTTATTTCTCTCTCTCTATCTATCTATCTATCTATCTATCTATCTCTCTCGTTCCGCTTCGGCTCGTCCTCAATGCCTTAGGTGCTGCTCTTACATTCTCATGTTCATTATTTCGTTACTAAACTTTCTTTGTGCCTAATCAATTTGCTTAGGTGTGTATGTGTATGTATGGCTATTAAGCTTTGTATTTCTCTTGTTTGTATTTTGTTGAGTTTTTACCTTTAAGTGTATAGTGTATTGCAGAAAAAAAAATAAAAATAAAAAAGAAGAAGAAGAAGCTTTTTGCAACGTTCATCAAATAGAAAAATGCTACACTTCTTGTCTCATTAATGTTCTATTGAATTATTTTTTTACACTCTACCTTTTGCTCATAATGAGATGCTTGCGTAAATGCATGCAAGATCATATATGCATATATGCATATATATATATATATATATATATTGTGTTAGTTTAGCTTTTTGCTTAAGCAAAATATGTTGTCACACTTGTTATTGTTATCGCTGTTGTTGTTCTTAATATTGTGTATTGAAAGGTATATATATAT